GCAGAGATCGTGTTAGCCTGACCAAGGTTTACTACTCGCGCCTTAGTTACCAGGAACTGAGGGGGAGAGGGGGAAATGCTGCCATGCAGAGGATTTCGTATTCTCGTTTCACACGGGTACGTTCATGCACTAAAAGTAAGCAGCTAACGCGACAACGAAGATGCTTGCATCGGTCGATCTCCGTCCATTCCCTTTCCGTTCACCATCTCTCTTCCTCTCAAATGATGTATGGCCAGCCGGCTTCTCCTTTAGGCTTTGGTCCAGCGTCGTATCGCCAGTATCACTAGTAGGCTTCGCACTACTAGTATACCGGTTACGTACTCGCTGCTGACCGCTATGTCTTCATTTTGGTAGGACGTTACCATCCACATCCGCTCACGGTCTCCTTTGTCATGTCGCCAGATATACCTAGCAAACGTCCAGACCGGCTTCTTCTTTATCACGGCCAGGCAAACGAAACAACACCTCATACTGCGCACAATTTCTGACGGTCTTTGCAGAACACCAGCATCAGCCACACCATTCAGCTCCGAGGCACCGTCTCCAATCACGAGCACGACTTCTTCTCCTGATACTCCCGAGACAACAGTAACGACACCAACAGCGACGACGCTCGCTTGATCACCGCATCATACGTTTTAACGATAACGATTATACGACACGCCTTACGATTTGATGTATCATGTTGCCTCTTTTTTGAATTTTCAAGTCAATACATTCGCTGCGGACGCTGAAGCTTGCGCATGTGACGGACGAAACACAGGTTACAATGAGCTATGGCAGAAGAGGAATGCATTGCTACTGTATCTATTTAATTCGAAATGCAACTGTTTGTTGAAACTCTGACCTGAGTAGCTAAAGACGTTTGTTAATTAGGATAATCTTGTGATTAAGCACAGCTTAACTGTTGCAGCGTGTGTGGGACTCGGATTACTGAAAGTGGTTTGGTGATGACAACATTCTGGGGGGAAAGCGGCCAGGGCTTCCTATCCCGAAAGGGCAATGGACCTCGGCCCAATCACGAGGGCTTGGTGCAACCGGACACCAACCTCGCATGCGCTGGAAGCTGAACGCCAGCATTGCTCTTTCACGACTGCACATCTGCTATACACGTTACCGCTACACGATTAATTGGACTACGACGACCCTCACGCTACGCATAGCCGCATTGACGCACCCGTGACTTGCCGGAACGCAGCGTTATCTCTGGTCGTGTTCCGACATTCCCCACACGCGACGCCTGCTCCACCCCCGAGTACGCGGGCTGCATAGCCCTCTCAACCATCACCATGATACAAGGCACGCGTCGCTGGCTCAGGCGCAACCGCACAAACTTTGCCATCGGCGCCGGAGTGCTCGGCGCGGGTTATCTGGCGGGGCAGTATGTCCTGGGCAAGCTCGGGGAGGCGAGGCAGCGCATGAGCGATGATCGCATCGCCAAAGAGAAGTCCGCTTTCAACTCGTCCATCACATGACATGCTCTAACGACAATGCAGTCTACGCCGCCGCTTCGAGCAAAACCAGGAAGACTGCACCTTCACCGTCCTCGCCATCCTGCCCACCGCGACCGAGAACATACTCGATGCCATCCCCGTCGAACAAGTGCTGGAAGAGCTGCAGAGACAAAAGGCAGAGCGCCTATCGCGGAGTGTCGGACCCAGCGAGATTGCCAGTTCAGCGCCCCCGAGTGTAGCAGATACGACCGAGGATGACGCACGGAGCTCGAGTCTTCAGACGGATAGCTTCATCCATGCCAGCCAAATCGCTACGGAGGGTGACAGCAGCACGGGCCCTACCGAGACTATCCCAGAGGTCAGGGAGGATAGGAAGAGCAAGAAGAGCAAGGCGCAGCTATGGAGCGAGATGAAGATCAGCTGTGAGTACCGTCGTGTTCGCGTTGAGACTTGACGTACTGACGCGACCAGCCATAACACGCGCCTTCACCCTTATCTACACCCTCTCCCTCCTCACGCTTTTGACTCGCATCCAACTAAACCTCCTCGGCCGCCGAAACTACCTCGCCTCCGTCGTATCGTTAGCCGCGCCGCAGTCGACAACCGAAGGCGCAAGGATCAACTTGGAGAACAACGACGACGACAACTTCGAGCAAGCATATGGCAACGACTTCGAGACCAACCGCAGATACCTCAGCTTGAGCTGGTGGCTACTACACAAGGGATGCATAGAGCTCATCGAGAAAGTACGGACCGCAGTCAAGGACGTCTTCGGGCTTGTGAACCCAAGAGAAGAGATGACCTTGGAGAGATTGTCGGAACTTACCCTGGAAGTGCGCAAGAGGGTCGAAGGTGCAACAGAGGAAGAGCGAAGGTAGGACCCCCATTTCATCTCAAATGACACCAGCTAACCCCTCACAGAACATGCAAGTGGCTCACCTTCCTCCTCCCACCGCAAGACCAGGAAGACTACGTCCTCCGCGAATCCGGCATGACCTCGTCCTCCGAGTCCACATCACCCACAACAACAACCTCTCTCCGTCGCCTTATCGACGAAACCTCTGACCTCATCGACTCGCCTGCTTTCACACATGTCCTCACACAGCTCCTCGACGCTGCCTTCTCCCACCTCGTCGACGTCAAGATCTCACAGCTCTCCTACAAGATCCCGCCCATCTCTGATAACCACGCTCGTGTGCAGGAGATTGTTGGACACGACATCAAGGCCAAGGTCGCGAACAGCTTAGCCGTATTCTGCAGACAAGCGCACAGCATCGGTACCGGAGCCAACAATGAGTACCTGGCTGCTATCGAAGCGGTTGGTGGTCTTGAGGCGTTCGCTGCTGTCGTCTACTCCAGCAACTTCGAGTACGAAAGCCCAGAGGCTGCTGCTGCGTTGAGTCAATCTGCTCCTGCTCCTGTCGAGCTAACAGCGCCGAGTGTGGTGCCTGAGGTTGCAGCTTTACAGGATGCACAGGAGGCCAAGTCAGACGATCCGTTCGAGAGCGCCTGGGGCAAGGCGCTGGCGAAAGAGGATGGGAAGCAGTTTTAGGGGATTGCACGATTGGTGCATGTACGAGTGGCCGTCGCGACGTAGGATTCTTGAGATACCCGTAATTTGAACCTGTAGCACTATATTCTCACTTTTCTCACTCCACATGAGATTGTGTGTATTTCAGTTCCGATGACACCGTTGTGCCTTCCGGCCTCGGATTGTTGAGTCGTGACGTCAGAGCCATGGTGGGACCTGTGAACACCTCCCAACCACATGTACCTTTCCATATCCCTGCCGGTGCCCCCTGAACCACCAATACCAACAAAAGCTCCGAGTCGCAGAACTCTCCGGTACTCACAATGGCAGACCAGCAAAATGCCAACCAAGGCAAAAACGCCTACGTAACCCTCCTCACCCGCCCCAGCTACCTAGCCGGCGCAATCCTCCTCGCCTACACCCTGCACAAACACTCCCCTTCCACCCCGCTCATAATAACCTACACCCCGGAGACCTTACCAGAAACCTGCATCAACGCCTTCAAAGCCGAAGCCGCTTACTCAAACATAATCCTCCACCCCGTGGAACACCTCCGCCTGCCAGAAGATGGAACCGAACACGGTATGGTCGCTGAGCGCTTCATCGATACATGGACGAAACTGCGTGTTTTCGATTTGTGGGATATGCCGGGGCAGAAGTTTGAGAGGATTTGTTGGTTGGATGCTGATATGATGATCTTCTCCAACCCTTCGCCCTTGATCTTCAACAAAGAGAATGACGCGTATTTGAAGGGAGGGGATGGCATGCGTACAATGGCCGTACACACCTGCGTCTGCAACCTCGACCACGACTCCTGGGCCCCCACGGAATGGAACCCGCAGAATTGCGCTATTGCCAAACTCTCCGCACCGGATCAGCTAGCGGAGGTGAAGCCGGAACCGTACACATTATCGAACTTCAACTCGGGCACTTTTCTCTATCGGCCCAGCAAGGAACTGTCTTCTTTCGTGCTGGCCAAGTTCGAGGAATTGGGTAATACAAAGTTGCGCGCTATGAAATTCCCCGACCAGGATTTCCTCAACGAAGCTTTCGACGGGCGCTGGAGCAGTTTGAGCTGGAAAACGAATGCGCTCAAGACGTGGCGGTACTGGCATGAGAATATTTGGCGCGACGACCAGGTCGCTGTGCTGCACTACATTGTGGATAAGCCGTGGGTGGCACGGCTGGATGAGGACGGTAAAGCGGGGTATTTGGGTAAAGACGGTGTGACGCACGGGTGGTGGTGGGATGAATTTGAAACATGGAAGAAGCAGAGGGAGGGCCAGGGCGGAAAGGACTTACTAGAGATTGTGGGCAAGTATGCGGCGAGGGAGGATGGGGTGGTGGATGAAGAGATGAGGGCTGTAGGGGGTGGGGCGCAGGATTTTGCGAAGAAGTGGCCTGCTAAGGATGGGGAGTGTGCTGGTGGAGGGGACGAGGTGAAGGAGGCGAAGAGCAAGGAACCGCAGTTGTCGGCGGAGGCACAGGAGAAGGCGGAGCAGTTTGGAAAGGTTGAGGCGCCGCAGGGGAAGATGTTGGGGGAGAGAGGGCATGGGCGTGTTGTTAGGGGTGGGAGGGGATTTGGTGGGAGGGGTAGGGGGGAGGGGTGGAGTGTTATGCAGGATTGAGGGCGGTGCAGACGGTAGATTTGAGTTCTCAAAAGTGTGACAGACGGTTGTAAAAGTATAACGGATAGACTGGCGGGAGAGATTCAACATGGTCCAAGTAGAGAAAGTGATAGATAAAAGTATACTGTAGTCGTCAACACTGAAACCTGTAAGCTAGAGCAGGTGGTGATATGGTCTTGTATCACTTCTCGCATACATACTCTAGATCAATCATATATATCCCTACTATCATCCCATATCTCGGAAACCCGAACGCTGTCATTCGATTCCATATCAATAATGTGAACGCAAGCTTTTAGATCGATCTCCTGCCTCCGTTCATCTCCATAGTCAAGCCCCATCCAATCAAAAGACCCCGGCTTTCCTTCATCCCAACCAGACCCCTAGCTACATGAGATCAATCAAATTCACGCCCTCGTCCTCGTACTTGATAATCGGACGACCAGTCTCCTTGGCAACAGGCGACGCGACGTTGTTAGCGAGCACAATATGTCCGTTGTGCGTAAGTGAAGGGCCGCGGAGTTCGGCGGCGAAGGTAGGGCGGGGCGGAGGCATCTTGATGGCGGGTTCTTCGCGCTTGTGGATCATGGCACTGTTGGTGTTGCCGTTGATGCCGTTGGTGTGGCCACTGGTATAACCGTTGACCTTGCCATCCATCCTTGGAGCCTCCTCAGCAGATTCGATCTTTCTAGCAGATACGGGGGTGCCTTTTTCAGCAACAATCTCGTTCTGACCAACAACCTTCGAAGTCTGTTCATTGCTGTTCTCAGTTTCCATGCGACCGAGGAGGGAACCGATGGTGTAGAGGTTATGCGGATGATTAGCATCATATAGGAAGTCCAGTTCAGGGTCGTCGCGCGCAATAAGACCCTGTCGCATCTTACTCAAAGCGACCTGCGTACGATGACACGCAGCGTAGCCTTCTAGGAAACCGCGCTGGTGCGATTCCTTGAGCGCTTCTTTACGACCCGCCTCTTTACCCGCGCCAAACCCATCATTGTACGCCTCCTCCGCAACCTCATCAGCCTTCTCATGAGTGATGGAGTTGTCAGCGAGTTCAGCTTCGAGTTGCTCGCGGGCAATAGCCTTCCAGTTCTGTTCCCGCATCTGTTGGGCCGCTTCGCGGAGACGGAGAGCTTCGATCTTGATGTTGAGTTTGCCGTTCATATCAGCCATGGCTTTCTGCGCATGGAGTTCGGCTTCGCGACGGGCGTGTTCCATTTGCACAGCGCTCATCGGTCTATCGCCGTTCTCTTCTAGCGCGTATATGAGCTGCTTCTGGCCTTCGGTGAGGTAGACTTCTAGCTGCGTAATCTTCTGCTCGCGTTCATCGAGGCCGCGCTCTCGGGCTTCGACTTTGGACTTGAGCGTGAGGGTTGTGGCTTGGTCGCGGAGGAGGTTTGTTAACATGACAGATGATGCGGCTTCGACCTTTTGTTGCTGCTCAGCTTCGATAGACTTGCGGAGACGCACGCCCTTGTTGCGCTCGGCATCAAGTTCGTTCTTGAGCTTCATGAGCTGTGCGTTCAGGCGGACGATTTGTTCGCGATCGCCGTGGTCGCCTCCTCGGGATCCGTGGGAATTGAAGTGGAAGCGAGCGCGCTGAGCATCGTGGAATCGAATGACCTCGTTTGGCGACATGATTTGCTGTATAGGTTAGTTTTAAGTACATCCAAAGGCTTGCGGGACTGCCTACCCTCGGGTCCGGAAGGCCGAAAAGGCGGGATGGAGGCGACTGGAAGTCAGGGCGCATGTGTGGGGGTAGACTATGAGCTGGCCTCGAAGGCTTCGGAACCTCGATATTCGCGTCTGTGTCGGTCTTGACGTCGCTGTCCTCGGCTCCGGTGTCGACGTCGGTCTTGGTGGCCTCGACATGCTGTCCAGGGGGCGATGCCAGAGGAGCTTCCTTCTTGGCAATTGGAGATGCTTTTCCTTTGATTAGCAGATGACTTTGGTGATGGTAGTGAGATATACCAAGCTTGGTCTTTTCCTTATCATCAATCTGCTCTTGTTGCTCCTGCACAGTCACAGAGATCGCTCCAACTTCATTGTTGAGGTCTTGCTCTACGATCTCCCCGTCTTCAAGAGAGGTACTGCTCTTGCTGTCCTCTGCAACAATTCTGGGCGAGGGAAAAGGAGAACCAAGAGTAGCCGTCTTGACACCTGTCGAGTCTTCGATAGCGACTTGGCCTTGGGTATCATTTGACTCCTCCATCTCAGGCGCAGAGACTTTCGACACGACGGGCGAAGGATCAAAGTCCAATGTGTTCTCCTGTTTATTGATCTCTCCATCGTGTGTCTCTGTGCGCGCATCGGCTGTCTTGATGTCTGAGGGCGACGCAATGTCTAGATGAGTGGCCTGATCGTTTGAAGTCGCCATGTTGACGGCTATCTGCTGATAGGATTGCTCAGACTGTTAGCAATTAATTGCTTGTTGTAATTGAGTGTCAAGATGAACGATGCCGCTGTTGTGAGACTGGCTCAAGGAGTAATCGAGCAAGTAAAGGCCAATGAGATGTATCGACACGATGCCTGACCAAGGTGGAGGATAGAGGAGTGTAAGTATAGAGCGGTGGAATGCCTGGCTTATATGGATATACAATCGCCTGGTGAGGGGCGCTAGCACGTGAAGGTATATGGCCGCAATGGCCACCAGTCAAGTAAGTAAAGGCAGGATCTTGTCGTCAGGTCGACAGTGGTGCAATGGAGGCAGGCCCACATAAGCTGCCCCAATGAATGTCCGCATCCGCGTCGCGCAATGTCACCGGAGCTTGGCTACTAGGAGGAGATAGGCTAATATAACCCGATGTTTGCGTTTGCCAGTGTCGTTTGATGCTTTCCAGTGCACGTGTCGCGTCCTTTGGTACCTGATGTAGTCACCGACTTTCGTATTCTCAACGATATAAAGTACGCAAAGCGCATAGCCATTCGAAAACTTCTACCTGAAGGCTTCGTGGACCCAGTACCGCTCTAATACTTGCTCATAACGCACACCAACGTCAAGGAACGCCTTCGTAGTCTTGGGCGCCGCAGACAACTCGAACTCAGCTTGGAAACTCACGTCTTCCAAGCTCAGATCAGATGTCCTGCATTCCGCGATGAAATCCCGCAGGACAGTCGACTTATCCAAGCTCTTGTATCCCACCCGATATTGGCTTTCGACACCAATCAGCATCGTGAAGCTTGTGAGAGACGGTGATAGCAGCTCGGCTATTGGAGGCGCGTTCCTCGAAAAATCAGCGTACGGAGCAGAAGCACCGAGCAAGCAGTTCTGAGATATAACCAACTTGCTCAAACGTTCGAATGGTCGAAGAATGCCGAGAGGTTCGAGCGGTACCATCTCTGCGTAATCTTCGTCTAAATCAGAGTCTGAGGCCTCCTCCTCTGATCGGAACATGATTTCACGAATATCAAGATGTAGGGATTCAAGCGTGTCCGCGTGACGTGAAAGGCTGGCGTACAGGTCGGATGGCGACCCTTCAAAATCCTCCATAGGCATCCATGTACAGACAACATGTCTTAAGCCTTCACATGCCGATAGAATACTGGCCATCGCCTCTATCCCGAGGCGACATGAGGTGATCTCGAGGCGCTGCAGCGTGTGCCATGAGCCAAGCTGAGGCATTGATGCTGGCGATCGTGCCACGACGCTACGCGCTCGGAAGTCGGTGAGCATGGGCGCCGTCGATACCACGGAACAAATTTGATCAAACGAAATGGTTTCGGCGTTGAGCCCGTAGTGTTGGAGAGTCGTATTGACGCACAGCGTTTGAAGCTTGCTAAAGACACGCTCGGCTCCTGGGTTGGGCGTAGGCGAAAGCGTTGTTTCCCGTCCAGGGACAAAGTGTCTCCAGAAGGATCGCTCTTTGTCTTCTATATTCTCGATGGACAAGTGTTGTAGGTTGACCGCCTGTTTGACAACGTCGGCTAGCATGGTAAGGTAATGTTGTGCAATGGTGTGCGGAGGTGTGCTGTCGTTCTGCAACTTCTTGTCCATGCGTCGAATCTCCACGTACTTCAGATGCTTGTTAAGTTCCTCACCCGAGACAGAGGAGTCTAAGATCCTTTCGCGAAACAACTGAAGAGATTCGGTACCATGCTCGGCGGCGGTCCCTATGAACGAGGCGTACAGGATTGGGGTAGCTATTCGCCTTAGACAACGAGATGTCAGACAGAGACTGTACAAGGCCAGCCTGCGAATATGGTTGTCGGATTGACGATTTGCCTCTATCGCCACTTTTTCCTGGTGTTCGGTGTACCTGAAGAGCGTGTCGTAAGAGCGAATGGCGTCAAGATGTGTGATTATCTCCTGCACCAGCTCATCTGGTAAGCCCTCAAGCGACGCGTTTTTGGAGCTCATGGTCGATCAGTGTATTTGACTGCTTAAAGTGCGTGTGAATGAGTGAATGCAATGAAACTGAGGTTTGTTGTTGCATGAGCGCAGAGATAAAGGGCGTCGTGGGAGCTGACGGGGCGTTAGGCTGCCACGCCGCTAACTCATAAGAGGGAAGGTGTTGACTGTTACACGCCTGGGCAGGCGCCAGGGAATACCGACAACTCCGCATCACGATAGTTACACCGGGGCTGATGTGTACGTTGAGAGGCAAGACTCACGAGATGTTGTTACATTATTATGGGTATATCGCAAGCTCAATCAAATCCTCCAATCAGCTTACACCACTCTCGTCGTCTTCCCCGTCTCGACGTCGTAGATCCACCCACTGAACCGAATGTTCTCCTCGATCGCTTTGATCCGCAGCCATTGTATATCCTTCTTGACTTGTATCTCCAGATCACGGAAAGGCCGGAAGTCGAGGGTCTCCACCTCTCTCGCGGCAATCTCTCCCCTCTTCTTCATAACCACGGCTTTCGCAGTCGGGTTGTCGAATGTGAGCATGCCGCATCCGGTGTGCTTTACGACGATGACTTCTCTTGTTCCAAGCAGTTGTTGCGATATGACGATGGATCGGAACGCGTCGTGTACACAACCGCCGGCGTTGCGGATTACGTGGGCGGCTCCGAGAGGGATGCCAAAGGCGGCAGTTGGGTCGATGCGCGCGTCCATACATGTTACTGACGCGTCATGTTAGCGGGCGATGGCTGGAGATGTGGTTGCAGGTGCTTACCGATGGTGTATCTTTGACTGGGTGGTAGTGCTAGATGGCCCTGGTCGAAGGAAGCAGCATACGCCTGGTTCCCGAGCTCGAGGTTCCTCTCTCCGTGTGTCGGCATTGTCGGTTTTGATTATTGTTAAGGCGTAAGAGGTTATGATGGGTTTACTGCTGGATGCATCGCCATCCCCTGCGACCTTATATATCGCCATGTCGCCGTCCTGATTACTACGATACGCGCCGGTTGCTTTTCGCACCTGAGGAAAGTTGCGGCATTGCGGGGGTGAATTTCGCCATGTTACTGGCCTGATACAGTTGGCGTTGATACAGGAACGACATGCGACAGACGTTACCGCAGCTGCACGTCTCCGGCAGAATGGCATCAACCCAAGCGCGGTTTCATTGGTCATCTCGACAAGGGTCCTCAGGCGGATCTCAGGCAAAGACGGCAAAGGGTGGGGCAACCCTTCTAGCGTGTCGCATGCGCATCTTCAGATGTTCCATTAATCCCGATCCTTCATTCTTGCTCCCACAAGGCGTCAATGCTTCTCTCTGTTAAATCTACTCTTTACCCTCTTGGGTTCCATGCTCATGTATTTCGGCATCCTGACTGAATCGCGTAGAGGATTGCGTTCGGCCTGACTCAAGATATCCGAGACATGAAGAGATATGGAGCCGCTCATCAAACCCGGATAGTGGATATACCTTCCAGGAGATAAGAGACGGGTTACCGGACGAACTACACAGTTCGAATTGCCGTCGCCGCGAAGCTGGGATTAGACGCCACTCCCCAATGGCGCAGTAGAAGTCTGACAGACCAACACCAAACGGCCAATAGACTGCGCGTCGTAGACCATTATCCGTCGGATAAAGCATTTCGAAATCCAGGTATCATTACAATGGCCATTCTGTATAACGAGATCATTGTCGAAATATCAACACTGGAGGAGCTAGGCCTAAAACGGAATAGCTCCCAATACCATCACTCCAAGGACAACGCCTGAATTGCCGTGGTGCTTTGACCTAAGGAAGACATCTATGAGCCAAGAAGCGTACCGACTTTCTAGGAAGAAATCATCGGATGGGGGTGGAAAAGAATACCAATAATATTTACAACTCCACTCCGCACGCTTCGAGGCTGGGTATGACGCTGCGCGAGCGTCATGCCTTACAAATCATTTTGCGGCCTCTCATGAGAGCATGCATCTCAAAGCATAGATGTATCTCATGTCTAACCGCTACTAAACTCGCTCTCCCTCAATAGTTAATTGATCATGGCCTCTCCGCAATCCCCAGCCATCGACAGCTCGCGCTGGCGTCAACGAATCGCGTCAATCACCACCACATCCAACGAACAGATTCGTCTAAACTACATTGAATGTGCACCTCCACGTTTGACGAGGAAAAAAGGCGTCATACTCCTCATCCACGGCTTTCCTCAGACATCATACCAGTTCCGGCATGTCATCACGCCGCTATCAGATGCCGGCTATCGCGTCATCGCGCCCGACTACCGGGGCGCAGGACAATCTTCCAAACCCCTAACGGGCTACCAAAAGACGCAGATGGCGGAAGACTTGCACATCTTGGTTCAAGAGCACTTCGGTATCAAGGAGAATATTCATGTTGTGGGACATGACATTGGTGGCATGATCGCATTCGCGTACGCATCGCGCTATCCCGATGATGTCGCTAGTGTCATCTGGGGTGAATGTCCGCTACCTGGTACATCATGCTACGAGAATGTCAAAGGCACACCAGACGTCTTCCACTTTGTTTTCCACCAAGTGCCCGACCTGCCAGAATTCTTGATCGCGGGCAAAGAGCGGGAGTATCTTAAGCACTTCTTCGATAAGATCTCGTATAACAGTGCGGCTATTTCGCCCGCCGATCTTGAGCATTACGCCCTGGCATATTCGCAACCTGGTGCTATCAGGGCGGGCTTGGAAGTTTATCGTGCGTTTGAGAAGGATGCGGAGGAGAATAGGCAATGGGTGGCTGAGCATGGGAAGGTTGAGGTGCTGTCGATGCTTATGAATGGGGAAAAGTTCATGTTGGCACAGTCTGCAGAGGGTATGGCGAACGAGTATCATGAAGGTGCGGAGATGGTGACGATTGAGGAGGCGGCACATTATATCGCTGAAGAGAACCCTGAGGCATTTGTGAAGGGTGTGTTAAAGTTTGTCGCTAGACACTGAGCGCACTCAGCTGGTAGACAACTATCTAGGTACAGTGAATTAAGACTTCCACATCAGTTTCATATCGACGTCGTGGTGAAGCTTTTAGTAACGAAACGTGCACTATTCACCACCGCGACCCCAGCCGCAGAGACCCCTAGCGATTACTACCAGTCTGGATACATGAGCGGGTATGCAACCTCAAAGGGCTGTCTTGGTAGATGGTTCTCACCTGCAATCCATATTGGCTTAGACCCAAAGTCATACAGTAATTCGTTCTGGAACCCCAGTCGCTGTTCAAGGTGTAGGGTTTCACCATACAGGACTTCCCTACAAAAGCGAGGGAAATTCAAAGACCCGCCGAATCGGCTGATGTATATGGCAACAGGGAACTCTGGGGCAAACTTGCGCCTACATGCCAGAAATGCAGAGTATAGCCCTATGCGCTCTGGCTCACGTCTCAAAGGCAGCTGTATGCGGAGTCCCGCGTTTGTCATGTCGTAATTTGGCATCGGGTCTAGACGATCAATCAGACCGGGTGGATACTCGCATGGTTCGTAGCTTGCTCCGTTAGAGAAGCACGACACACTTGGCGCTAGCATGTCGCCGTTGACTGTCTCTGACTCCCAGGCGAAAAGAGAATGGTCAGTACTTGTCCGCAGGATCTCGAGTTGTAGTCGCCTGAAAGCGCTGCTTCTACCCTCTCCGTACAAAGTTGCCATATTCACACCAAAGATACCCATTAGGGAGTACGCTTCGTCTTCCGGTCGCGTTGTGACTCTGCTCGCCGCCCACGACATCTTCTCCGATACGCCCATAGCACTGATGGCTTCGCGGTCTCTCAGGACCTCCACATCAATGTTGGAGGCTATAGAGACTTGATGGCACGAATCAGCTTTTGTGCCGATCTTTTTCCAGCTCTTTGCGTAGAAAGTCAACTTGAGCGGGGCGATTAGCTCTTGCAGAGTCCACCCTCTTGAAAACCAAGCTGATCTGGAGAGAATTCGATCTTCACCGAGCTCCACATCGTCCAAGTATGCAATGCACCACGCTGAATTGGTGTAGTAACTGTACATCGAGTTGATGGCTTCTGATAGCTCGGCGCTGGAACTCTTGTCGATGCAGCAAGTATCGCTCCATAAATAGCTAAAACCGTGTTCAAGCGCAACACGGCACGCCATCTCAAGCTTCGCGTAACCCTTCTTGCTTCGTGCAACACTGCGGTCCGCGGATGCGATGTCATCGTATAGAACTTCTTGCCAACGCCATCGATGCGAAAGGATCGCGTATCGGGGTAAAATCTCTCCTCTAACCTCATGTAACGAGATCTGTAGGGTAGGATCGAGAGCATCATTGGACTCAATATAAAGGAGCCGCATTGGTCTGTGACTAGGGTCGCTAGTATGCGGATAATAATGTTTATAGGGTGGCACGCGTTTGTATCACTGAGAAGGTCGAGGCTGGGCAAGGGCAAGTGTGACGTGTCTTGTGCCTCTTAGCTAAGCGATTCGAGCTCATTGGACGCCTATACGAGACCAATGGCGGGCACACACGGCACGTACAACATGAAAACATCCCGACTAGACATAACAGTCCTCTTGTAGTCGCGTGAGCACTACGGTACTCTCACATCGAACTTCCCTGTAGCCTCCGGTTTCGAAAGCACCCAAAGTATACCCTCATCAACACACTGATCCCAATGCTCAGACGCCTTCAACGCTTTCCCAAAGCGCCTATGACCATGCGGAACGCCCTTGAACAGCGTAGTAGACGTCGGAACATTAGCCTCGGACAGCTTCTTCGCAAACAACAGCCCCTCATCGCGCAGCGGGTCCAAGCCAGCAATACCAAACACCGTAGGAGGGAAACCCTTGACCTCCTCTTCCGTCGCATTGACAACATTCATCTTCGTGTCTTTGAGATCTACATCCCCGATCTTCAGCAGCTTGGTAAAGAAGTCGATGGTTTTCTTCGGCAAAACCGGTGCATCTTCGTTCTCAACGTAGGATGAGGTTGAGGGGTTGAGTAGCTTGCCTGGCCCTTGATCGTAGGTAGCTGGGTGGGCGAGCATTGGGATGATTAGGATCTGGCCGGCTATTGTGGGTAAACCTGCGATGTCTTCGCTCTTTCCAAGGTGCTGCTCTAGAGTCAGGGAAGCAGCTAGGTTGCCGCCTGCTGAGATGCCGCCGACGAGGACTTGGGATGGATCGCCTCCGAGCATGTCGATGTTCTTGTGCAGCCAGACGAATGCGTCATGAGTGTCATTCCAGGCGGTTGGGAAGATGTGTTCTGGTGTATGGCGGTAGTTGACATTCAGCACCAGAGCCCCAGTCTTGATCGCGGTTTGCGCACACAGCGGGTCCTCGCTACTCAGCGATCCTGTCTTATCGTCAGCTAAAAGACCTTGATGCATCACAAGCCAAACGTGTTACCGAAGATGAAGCCTCCACCGTGGAAGTACAGGTATACAGGAAGCTTCTCGGATGCATCCTTCTTCACGGATCGATACGTTCGAGCTTCGATGGTTGAGCCATCGCGGGTCGGAATGGCGTGATCTTTGGTCTGGATATGTGGTGCGAACAATTGCTTCACCTCTGCAGAGCGTGCTTCTCGCTCAGAATTGACCGCATTACGCAGAATGATTGGATCCAACGAGATGTCGAAAGTCCGCACGGGCAGTGTCTTCTCCACTGCCAACCATTCTTCTGACGGTCCACCGTACTGAGAGAAGTCCATTGTCGATTTGATAAGAAAAGATTTGCTGCCTTGAGTGGAGGGCTTGAAGCGATATGTATCCGAGATGTAGCCAAACTTCGTACGAGCCTAGCATTGACGCGTCGAGTCCCCTTCGTCATATCTGCGCCCGGTCGCTAGCGTCACCCCGCAATGTGCCGAGGTCCTCACATGCATGCCACCAACACCACGTTTGCTTTTTTGGAGCTGCTTGTCGTCGGCGCACCATCATTAACCTAGTCGCTTCGATTCTGGTATGATTGGTTCGGAGATGACTATGTGCTCCTGCTTTTGAACTCGATGATCCAAATCGTCATCCGCAAACACCAGCCAGAAATAACGTCATATACCTGAGTCCAACAAGATGGCTACAGTGTCGTCTGAACCTCCACCACGCGGACTCAAAGGCAAAGTCGCGATCGTGACCGGAGCAGGTTGCGATGGTGATGGAATTGGGAACGGGCGTGCGATATCGATCATGCTCGCCGATGAGGGCTGCCATGTCCTCTGTTTGGATCTGAACATAGAGTGGGCTCAGAAGACTGCGGAAATGGCAGCGTCAAAAACACATCGCGGAAGAGCTATCGCGATTCAAGCAGATGTCACCAAGGCCAATGACTGCGAGGCTGCAGTAGCTCAAGCAATGCAAGAGTTCGGCAAGCTGGACATACTGGTGAACAACGTCGGTGTCAGCGGTGCATCAGGAACGGCTGTTGATGTCGACATGGAAGCTTGGGCGAAAGGACTTGAGATCAATGTGAGCAGTATGGTGCAGATGGCGAAGTACTGCATACCAGCTATGCAGAATAACGACGGCGAAACGAAAGGCAGCATCGTCAACATGGGCTCTGTCGCTGGACTGAAAGGCGGCACACCACATCTGTTGTATCCGACCAGCAAAGGCGCAGTGGTGAATATGACAAGGGCGATGGCTGCGCATCATGCAAACGATAGTATCAGGGTCAACTGTGTCTGTCCAGGCGTACGTTCTTCATAGCTGCGGAATAGTGAGATACTGACACGAGGCAGATGCTTTATACGCCCATGATGTATGCAGGCGGCATGAGCGAGGAAGCCCGAGAAGCTCGAAAGAAGAGAAGCTTGCTGGGTACAGAAGGCAATGGCTGGGACGCAGCATGCGCTGTGACTTTTCTGAGTTCAGATCATGCGAGATGGATAACGGGTGCGGTTTTGCCTGTCGATGCTGGCGCGACAGCTGCAGTGGGCATCGGAATGCCAAAGAGTGCCAGTGTCAATGGCTAGAGTATGGGGTAAATGGGGTTAGAAGGCAGGCAGGAGATGATGAGGTTTGGCGCAAAACGGGAAAGAACCTCGGCACATCGGCACCCGGCGGCTCATTGGCTTGCACCGGCGTCACAATGCAGCCCCAAAGTCCCGACACCTCTTCGTGTACTTCTCGCGACAACTACACAGCACTTTCATCCCCACATGGCATCAGTTGTACACACGTAGTATGAGTCTCGTAGTCTGTATGAGGAAGGCCCATGTGTGGGGCGGAGGGCTGCCCGATGCGCACACTCATTTGCACCAATCGGAGCCTTCCACAGACATTGAGCCCAGCGGTCCGCTCCTTTAGTCCTTTCTAGTTTTTGCGCTGCACCCCGGATTTCCGCTAGAGATATCTTGGCTTCTCAGCAATCATGGTGGTCATTCGTGGAAAGCCGGATGATCACAAAATGTAAGTCGTGGACGGAAGAACTGGGGTTGTGGCGTATACCTTCAATCTTGTTGCGGCTGAAGATCAAGTGCGATGTCAGATCTCTTATAAGTTGGATTGCTACGAACACATTGAAAGCCACCAGTCCGACTGCAGGTTTCATCCTCTATCTTTACCGCCATGAAGTTCCTCCAATCGCTCAGCACATGTGTGCTCGCACTCTCTTCCCTCGTCAGCGCAGCAAGCTTCAGCAACCCACTCAAGCAAAAGGATGGCTCAGACCCTCACATCGCTTACACCAATGGCTATTACTACATGATGACGACGACATGGACAAACCTTTCAATCACGAGAGCGAAGACGCTTGGAGGCTTGAAGCCAGGAGAGACAAAGGTTGTCTGGACCGACTCGAACCCTGACAGATGCTGCAACATGTGGGCCCCTGAGCTGCACTACCTCGATGGTGCATGGTACATCTACTATACTGCCGGCCGCAGTGGTACCGACAACCTGGATCTCCAGCGCCCTTATGTGCTCAAAGGTGAGAATGTTTCATCATGCAGATGATGAGTAATCTAACAGTCTTAGGTGGTGCGGACCCATTCGGCACATACACCTACCTCTCCCAATTGACCAGCGTATGGGGTATCGATGGCTCTATTGTCCGTTTCAGCAAATGGGGTAACTACTTTGCCTGGTCTTGCTTCTCCGGCGCCCTTCAGTCACTCTGCATCGCACCCATGACCTCGCCTGGCAAACTCGGTGCCACCAAGATCCTCTCTACACCTACTGAGTCGTGGGAAACCAATGGTAGCCCTGTGCAAGAAGGCCCAGTTGCTATGTACCACGGTGGCAAGACCTACATCGCTTACTCGGCAAGCTTCTGCTGGACACCCAACTACAGCTTGGGTCTGCTCACCTGGAATGGCTCGGGTGACCCGGCGCTCAGTGCGAGCTGGAAGAAGAGCGATGGGCCCGTCTTCACCAATGCCAACGGCAACTACGGGCCAGGTCACAACGGGTATGTTGACCAGTCGATACCGCGCGATATCCATGCTGACCACGATGTAGTTTCTTCACCAGTCCCGATGGCACAGAGATATGGAACGTTTACCACGCTACTGCTATTCAGACTGGCGCCTGCGACGGCAACAGGTACACGATGGCGCAGAAGGTCAACTGGAACGCTGATGGCACGCCGAACTTTGGAACCCCTATCAGGCCAGGCGCCACACTTGCTGGACCTTCTGGAGAGTAGATTGTCGATCGTAGTTGGCCTGCGATGGAAAATCTTCTTGTATATATTTGGCGTTGCGCATGGTTGAGATGTACTAAACTTTGTTCCATATCGAAATGTAGTCGGGCCACCGTTTGCGCAAACTGCTCGTACCACTCTTCGCATCATACCGCAAATCTGAGCAGCGATTGGAATGTGTGATCATCGTTGTTACCAGGACAACTCTACCAAGGATGAGTGGCCCCAAGCTTGGATCGAAGTCAGCGCATGTTACTGCATAAGAGTCGGTGATGGGGGCTGGGGACGGAATCGATAAACTGTGCTGACCGGGGCGGAGCCGAAGGCGCGCCGATCATCTGCCTTGCTGTGCACGATGCACGCCCTGGTGAAGGTGTAATATGCTTAATCTGGAAAATGAGCTCACGAAATGCCGATGTACGAGTAGATAACGTCGCTGGATGCGTACACAAGATGGCAGGTGAAGGTACAAGTGATAGTGTCGGATGACGTCGAGGATGCACGAGTCATGGAATCTGCAAGGTCCCGCACGTGCTAGCGCGTCCCGCGCCAACATGCGTCAGCTGCACCCCGGACTCCGCTTCTGGCCAACTCTATCGCCTCCGCCTCCCTCCGCTCTTCTTCTTCATCATCCATCATCACGGTGTTCAGCTGGCTGGCATCATCAATACTCTCATCAATCTCCAGCTCGATACTGCCAGCTCAGCTATTCAATATGGCTGCTGAGAAAACACCGCTCGTCGCGTCGGACGCGTCTGCTCCAGTGCAGCCAAGCCACGTGCAACGCTACTCCAAGCGTCAAGCGGTAGGAAGGCTGTTTGCCATCGCCGCCACAGCTACCCTCATACTCTATGGAATTCCGCAGGGTATGTGTATCGTCACCTTCAAATGATTCGCGACTAATTGATGTCCAGTCGACTATGAGCCGACCGGCGACTATCCAGAGGAGAGCGAGCTATGTCTGACTCCAGCTTGTGTGCATGCGGCCTCAGAGGTTCTCTATAACCTATCACCTCAGTACAAAGAGCTTGACCCATGCGATGACTTCGAAGAGCTCGTCTGCGGTGGCTGGAGAGACCGCCATGACTTGCGAGCTGACCAGGGTGATGCCTTTACCGGCACAATCATGTCGGAAAACTCACAGATGCTGCTTCGCCACATTCTCGAGGCTCCTTATCCCAAAGACTCCGAGGTATGTGCAACCTTACTATTTAGATCAATCCCAACTAACTCTTTTGTAGCATTCTTACTTCTCACCCATGCAGCTTATGTCAACTGCCAAATCCGCCGATGAGGAGAACTTTGACAAGATGAGAGCGGCTTACGATGCGTGCCTCAACGAAGACAAGATCAAGAGCATTGGCGCTGGGCCTTTGAAGCAGGTCCTTGACGAGATCAAGAAGACGTGCTCTGCCATTGCTTCGGACTCCAACTCGATCAAGGACACTATCCTTCTTCTGGCCAAGTACGGTATCACTGGTCTTGTTTCGACTGGTACCGGTGCCGACGATACCGACCCCGACACTGTTGTCGTGTCTGTTGGTGCCCCGTACAACTTCGGACTACCTTCCAAGGAGCGCTACGAAGACGAGAAACTCGTTGAGAAATACCGTGGTGTCGCTGTTGAAGTTCTCAGCGCGATATACCCCGACCAGGACAAAGCTGTATTTGAGGGTATCATTGATCTCGAAAAGAAACTCGCGGCAGCATCTCCAAGCGAAGAAGATCGCGAGGATGTCACGAAGTCTTACAACCCATTCTCGATAGACGATGCGGCTGCGATCGCTCCCGAAATCGAGCTGAAAGCGCTTCTCGCAGGTCAGGCCCCAGAAGGCAGCGACATCAAACGCGTCATTGTCACGACCCCGAACTATCTGAAGGAGCTGTCTGTAATCCTCGCAGCTACACCCGAGGATGTTCTTCAGGCCTACTTCATTTGGAAGGCCGTCCAGTCTCTCTCTGCTTACGTCGATGCGGATGCTGTTAAGCCATACCGTCGGTTCGTCAATGTCCTCGCAGGCAAAGACCCTGACTCCGCTCCTGAGCGATGGCGATCATGTGTCAGCCACGTCGATAACGGATTGGGCTGGATCTTGAGCCGCTTCTTCGTAGAGAAGGCCTTCTCCGCTGAGGCCAAGAAGTTTGGTGATACCATTATCACAGACATCAAGACCGAGTTCGCCAAGAAGCTGAACGCTGCTGAATGGATGGACAAGGATACTGCGAAGAAGGCTGTCGAGAAGGTGCACAACATCGTCCAGAAGATCGGCTACCCCACCAAGAGCCCGAACATCATGGACCCGCCTACGCTTGAGGAGTATTACGAGACCGTCAATGTTTCATCAGACGCATTCTTCGCCAATGCGCTTGCCATGCGTCGCTTTGAGGTTAAAGAAGAGTGGTCCGCCCTCGGAAAGCCTGTGGATCGCGATCAGTGGGATATGTCTGTCCCAACAGTGAACGCCTACTACAACCCTCCCGGCAACGAGATCGTCTTCCCTGCCGGTATCATGCAGTTCCCAGTCTTCGACGTCAACGTACCCGCGTACATGTCCTACGGTGCTTTCGGCTCCGTTGCTGGTCACGAACTCAGTCACGCTTTCGACAGCACTGGTCGTCACTACGACCAGAACGGCAACCTCACCGACTGGTGGTCAAACTCAACAGTAGAGGCCTTCGAGCAGAAGGTCAAATGCTTTGTTGACCAATACTCCAACTTCACCGTCCCCGGCCCCGACGACAAGCCTCTGCACGTCAACGGCAAGCTTACTCTTGGCGAGAACATTGCCGATGCCGGTGGTCTCTCTGCGTCTTTCCAGGCTTGGAAGCGCCGCTCGGCCGAGACGCCCAACCAGAACCTTCCTGGTCTAGACCACTTCTCGCAAGAGCAGATGTTCTTCGTTAGCTACAGCAACTGGTGGTGTGGTAAGACCCGTAAGGATACCGCCATCAACCGTGTGTACACCGATCCTCATGCACCTAAGTGGGCGCGTATTCTGGGTACCATGGCGAACTCGAGGGAGTTCAGGGAGAGCTTCCAATGCAAGGTGAAGGAGCCTACTTGCCAGCTTTGGTAGATGGTGACAAATTGGAATGTGCTGGCTTGTACGTGCGACTATTCTTCCAATATTATAGTAGCTTGCTGGCACATTCATGACATATGATGCCACACGATGCTTAATATTTACTAAACTATATATGCAATCTACAATGCAGTATTATGCCTGCAGAACCAACTCATACTTGCCCGGCTTAAGCGCTATCCTCATCCCCTTCCTCTCTACTTCATACCCACCCTCACCTAGTCTCCTTAAAACGACGCTACTCTCCTCTCTCGGCAACAGCAAATACCCCGTCGTGCTAGTCGGCACACTGATCTCCATCTTCACCTCCTCACCCCCACCACCATCAACCCTCCTCTCATACCTAACCTCAATCCCCCCATACGGACACTCCACCCTCCCCTCCACCACCCCAAATTCACTCCCCAACGGCGGCCTAACCCTCCACGTCCTGTACGCCTCCGTCTCCGCCTTTACCCCCAACACCCCCTCATAAAACCACTCATATATCGTTCCCAGCATATCATGACATTTGCTCCTACAGTTATCCTGCCAGAACTCATTCAACGTCGTTTCGCCCCGCCGTACAAACCGTAAATAACTTGGATGTTCTTCCTGGCGCGCCATCTCCAGGATTATGTCTGGCCGGTTTAGGTCGGAGAGTGTGTTGAAGAGGTATTTTAGGCCGATCTCGCCGGCTTGGATGCGGTGGCCTGCGGAGGCGCAGTCGGCGAGGAAGGCGGTTTGGATGTCGGTGGTGTGGGCGGCGGGGACAAGGTCGAACTGCAGGGCGAAGGCTTGAGCGACCATGTTGCGGTCGTGGGTTGGCGGGTTGTCGCGGGATGTGTAGAAGGCGTAGGGGTACTCTTTCTTATCTGTGATGAGGAGCCGCTCGTTGTACACGCGGTAGATGCGATCTGCCCATTCGCGGAACCGCTGCTCGGCATCTGGTTTGCCGAGTTCGTGCGCCATGCGTTGGATGTTGCGGAGGCAGCGGTAGTAGATTGCTGTTTCGATGTTGGCTTGGTTGTTGCCGAAGGCGATGTCGCGGCCCCAGTCGCCTAGACCGTGCTCGATGAGTCCGTCGTCTCGCTCTTTGGTCCTGATGTATTCCATGTAGCGGACGCAGGGGTCGAATAGCTTTTCGAAGACGTGGGTGGAGTCGTAGTAGAAGCGCAGTATCTCGGGGAGTAATGCGACGGCGCCGCCCCAGGTGATTGTGTCGTGTAGGGGGCCGCACATGTATCTGATCTCGGGTGCCATGGTTGGGCAAAGACCGTTTGGCTCTTGCGCGTCGACTATGTCATCGAGTATCTTGGAATAGAGTGACTCCATGTCCCGGATGTACTGCGTGGCTGGTGCGAGAAGGTGCGTTACTTCAAGCCAGCCAAACTTCTCTAGTTGAGGACAGTCAGTGTGGTAGCTGAAGAGGTTGCTGACGAATGACCAGTAACACATGTTGATGAGCTGATTGACATCTTCCTTATCCGTCTTCACGTAGCCGAGACGACGTGCGGCAGACGATACATGCCTGCTCACCAATGAGTGCACGACTGGTAGCCCTTGGCCCTCCTCTAGCGAAACACCCTCGACCTGGATGTAGCGTGCGCTTGTGAAGCAGAAGTCTGGTTCCCATGTTTCGACCCCCGTACCAGCAAGAGTGAACTTGCAGAACACGCCCGTCTCGAACTGCTTAAAGAGTGGATCGGGCATGAGTACCTTGCCATCCTCACCAATCGTCTCAGAGAAACGGACGATGACTTCCGAGCCTGCCGGACCGCTGACTTGTATCTTCACCATGGTTGTCATATTCTGGCCGAAGTCGAACATGACAACACCTGGCTCGACTGTCTTGGTCGATCGCGGTTCGAAGGTCTCATGCAACACGACGGGCGGTTGACTTTGGTACTTCAATTTCCCCCTTGGACCAGTCACGGGCGTCGCAGGCTTCCACTTCTCGTCCTCTGTGAAGCCCGGGGCATCCCATCCGATAGGATAGGCGCGCAAGTCTTTCGTTTCGGAAGAGTATATGTTTGCTAGTGTGGTCGCACTCTTACGGATACTCCAATCTGGGCCTGTAGTAACCGTCTCGTGGCTACGGTCGGGGTAGAACAGATGTAGCTCCATGAAGAAGCAAAGCTCATTGCCATACCGAACGTATGTGTTGTCCTCATAGCATGGCCAGAAGAAACGGTCGTCGCCCTGGTCACCCGCGTAGAAGCCATTGCCGAGATGCGCGCCTAGTACGTTCTCGCCCTGTTTCAGTATTTTGGACAAGTCGTATGCAACGAACTGCACGGTGCGATGGTAGTTCGTCCAGCCAGGATCGAGGACATGTCCGTTCGCCGCAGCAAGATCGCCATTACAGACGAAGTTGAAATGACCAAGACCCGATGCGAATGCAATGGCACGAGACGGCTTCCGATCGAGATGTAGCGCCTTGCGTACATAGAGCGGCTTGTCTCCATTATCGCCGATCCAGACGCCCTTCCATCGATTCGGCTCATCTTCAAACCATGTACGGAAGATGAGGCTGGTGTGTGGCATGTAGGTCTGGTTCATGCTGTATGGTGGCAGTAGCCCAGAACATCTGGGGTATGCAGTGAAGAACTCGTTTGCTCTGCCAACCGTGACCGTACCATCAGAGTCCCATACCGTGACTCTCCAGTAGTGGAAGGTAGCCGATTCGAAACCTCCGTCAGGTGCACATACTATATTGCGTTGCCTATCGCTTTCCACCTTTCCGGAGTTCCATACTGTTTTGTCCCACAATCCTGGTGTCGTGAAGACTTCAACGCGATACGCTATTTGCTGGCTGTCTTCGCGATCTGAAATGAGGACCCAAAAGAAGCGGATGTCGTCTGTGTCGATGCCGAGCGCCTCGTGGAAGCCGTGTATTCCGCATCGCGTGACTTCTAAGACCATACTGAGCGACTGCGGAACTGAGATGGCTTGCGTTCGTAAGGTTGGCTTGCTTGAGCAACCAAAATGTCGTGCAGCATAGATTATCGGAAAGGTGGAGGGTTGGTGGCTGTTACTGCGAGAGGGTTCAACTAATCATTTACATCTTCAGCTCATCAGTCAGAGTACGCGTCGTAACAACACGCTGCGAAGTTCGGGTGAATTGGCTGCGAGACCACCGACCGATAGCCTGTTAGGCGTGACATGAGTGTTTGGCACGGTCTTATCCCGACGTGGTCCCGAAGTGGAGACACGCGTCCGGCAGTCTGATTCGACAGCGAGCGCGAATGCGGGGACCCCACCAAGACATTGCAGCTTGGCCTACAGTTTGATCTTAACTCCCGACCCGTAGCGCAGGGCCTTACCATTCGTAACAATCCTTCTCCGACATTTTGACTAATGGCGAGCATGACCTCTAGCATAGTAGCAAAAGCTCAACATAGGTATCGTACCTAACTGATAGTAGTTGCAAGCTTTAGAACTCGAAGTACTGATGAAACCACGTAGAGGGCAACATCATGTATGAGCTAGGAACTTTTGCGAGATATATGCTGTTGTTCCATCTAGCCCGAGCTTTCGCGATGGCAGTAGAGCGCGACAAGCATTCTAGGCCCCTTGTACAGTCTCCATGATCCGTGCATGGACACATGCGCGTGTCAGCCAATGCTGGCTTCGGGGCAGTAGAGTCCGGGGTAACAAGGGACGCGAAATGGAACCACAGTCCGTTGATACATAAGCCGTGGTGTCGCATGGCGACAGATCCACTTCCCCACACTCTATCTCACATCATCGCTCAAGATGGGAGTCGCTGTCACGGTCTTTAGCGCAATCTTTCTGGCGACTGGAGGTAGGGTTCCCACCTGGCAAGCGCACGAGCTCACAAGCTGTGTACTGATTCATCTACAGGTTTCCTTTTCGGATATGACTCTGGTATCATCACCTCTACCATCGCCCTTCCTACCTTCAAAGAGTACTTTAACGACCCTTCGGACGATGTCGTCGGTGGTATTGTGTCCGCCTTTCAAGGTGGTGCCATCGCCGGGACCATCTTCAACATGTTGTTCGCGGATGTGCTAGGCCGTCGCTGGACTATCTTCGTAGGAGCGGTCATCTCCATTCTGGGCAGTTCTCTTCAAGCAGGGGCTGTGAACATGGCTATGCTCATCATCGGTCGCTTCATCGGCGGAGTCGCAGTAGGTCAGCTCACTTCGACCATCCCTATGTACGCCGGTGAGCTGTCCGAGGCGAGATACCGCGGCACTCTCTCTGGTTTGCTGCAGTGGATGCTGAGCTGGGGATTCTTCGTCGCTCAATGGCTCGGCTATGGCTGCTCCTTCAACAGCACTCAGTTCTCATGTAAGTCGACCTAGACATAAGCCGCTGTCTTTTCCTGCTAACATGTCTCAGGGCGCTTTCCTCTCGCATTCCAGAATGTACCCGGTCTCGTGTTGCTTGCAGGCATTTTCTTCCTGCAGGAGTCTCCCCGTTGGCTCATGGAAAAGGATCGACATGAAGACGCCATGGCCTCGCTCAACAAGCTCCGAAGGGGCCACGACGCTGAGACAATCGATCTAGAATTCCGCGAAATCCGTGATGTCATCATCGCAGACCGTGCTCTGGGCAATATTAGCTGGCTCTCGATCATTACGAAAACCTCTTGGCGCAAGCGTCTTTTGCTGGGTTGTGGTGTGCAAGCATTCGGTCCGCTTTCCGGTATCAACGTTATCAACTACTACGGCCCGCGCATCTACGAGATCCTCGGGATATCGACACAGGAGTCGCTCATGATCATTGGTATCAGCGGTGCTCTCTCAATCGTGTGGTGTACCATCGGACTGGCACTAGTCGACAAGTTTGGACGTATCAAGCCCCTTCTCATATCGGCAGCGGGCTTAGCGGCTGCTCTTCTCGTCAACGCAGTACAAGGGCAATACTTCGACCCCAACAATGGCGCGCAGCTGCGCAGTATGGTGGCCATGAACTTCCTCTTCTCCTTCTTTTACACACCTCTTGGCATCATCTCGTGGGTTTACCCTGCAGAGATTTTCCCCATCGAATGCCGCGCCCTTGGCAACGCGATCACGACTTTCACAAACTGGGTTGTGAACCTCATATTCGCCCAGTTCTCTCCCCAAGCACTCAGCACGATTGAGTTCAAGTACTTTTACGTCTTCTTCTGCTTCAACATCGTTGCCTTTTTGTGCTATTGGTTCTTCTATCCGGAGACCAAAGGCAAGACCTTGGAACAGATGGACGAGCTGTTTGGCGATCAATTGGTACCGCATGCATTGCAAGATCCGGCAGCGGCATCGGCGGCTATGGAAAAGGATGAGAAGCTCCACGCGGAGATGGCGGTCGTTTGATTGCCATTCGATGCGGCTGGTGTTGGTGTTGAGCAGAAGGAATGTCAAAGGGAAGCTGCAGGTGGCGTTGTTGGAAGGTCAACCTGTGATACGTGCGCGGTGTTTATAGCGACTTATAATCATATATGATGTGAGACCTTCCGAAATGCAATGTGACGTGTACAGACGGAACGTATGAGCATATTTGTGCCTCATGAGGAACGACAACAATTGGGTTGGCGCAGGCAGGATGTCGATGCAAGCCCTGGAGAAGGCGGAAAGCACATGTGCAGCCGGGACGAGCTAGTAGGTAAGAGGAAAGGCGTTGTGCGTCATTGACCCCTAGGCCTCATCCCCGGCGACAGTCTCGGCCGCGAAGTAATCCCCGCCGGCCGCCGCATCCTCGAAGCCCTTCCCTTTCCAACAAATCACGAACAGACCCCATCGTCACTGCCAAAATCGCGCCCGGCTTCCCCAAACACTGCTGCGAGCAAGACAAGCCACTCGTGACTACCAAAATACATAACCACCACATACGCAAAAGGTACTCCTCACACTCCCCAAACGCTGCACCCTCAATCTCCCAAACCCCCGTTTGAGCAAGTAGTCCCCTCGGAAAGTGCAAACCACCAGTGACCCAGACCCTTCCGCGAACGCCAATCCGGCACTCCCACGCCACCGTGAGCAGAAAGCTACTGGATTCAATGAAGGTCATAGCGTGGAGAGGTAGGTAGATAAATTTAAATAGTTGTCATTCTTCCCAGGCAGTTAATCAATAGATCAGTTCGTAATCTCAACAAAGGCACCTCCAACCCAGATGCAGCCAATGTAGACGCCTCAAACCCACTTCGATACTAACTTGTTTCCTTAACAACACACTACCAATCTACAACACAACCTTCACTAAGCCCTCCATCCCTCACCAGGCTCTCCTTCCTTTATCGGGCTCTCCTTCCTTTATTGGGCTCTCCTTCCCTCACCAAGCTCTCCTTCCCTCACCAAGCTCTTCTTCCCTCACCAAGCTCTCCTTCCCTCACCAATCTCTCTATACTCGACCCAGCCCTTCACACCATCCATCACTTCTCCCCCATACATTTCAGCAACAATTCTCATCTCCAACCATCCCACGTGCTACAATGAGCTCGTTGACTGGATCGAATGCTTCGGAAAGGACGTCCCAGTCCTTAGCCCCTCGCCGAACGCCCGTTACCGAACAGTCGAGGCATCTGGAAAAACGACCAAAGATGCCAAAGCACCAGGCACCCTAGAAGTCACCCCAGTCGATCCTCTCATAGCGCAAGCCGATGCTATCCTCAACGAACTCCAGCGGACGGAACTTGGCACCAGGTCGATGCTCTCAACCTGACCTCAGCTCGGTCAGAACTCTGAAGGCGACGTCAGCAACACCATCTTCCTGTATGTCATCGCGCCGATCATCGAGTTCTTGAATCACAAGTACGGAGACACCTTGGAGTACACGACAGAGCTGAGCCGTAGCATCGAAAAGGAGGATCAGGTGAACGCCAAGGCGCATAACGGTGTGCGTTTTGACGCCGTCTTCCTCAAGCGCCAAGGCGGGGGGGTGATCGCACTACTCGACTTCAAGAGGAAGGAGTACCTAGTGTCCAGGGATTTTGAGGGGGCGCTGGTTGAAGAGAAAGGCTCGAGCCCAGATGGACTTCTCACACGCAACGGCGCCATATTCACAAAACAAATCTCAGCCTACGCAGTCAAAAGCGGGTGCAAACACGTCGCCCTCTTTAACTGGGACCATTTGCTCTTGTTTGACTTCTTCCAAGTCGAGAAAAAGAGTAACATGGAGAGGTTTATTGGGAAGAAGGCGAGGCTGACCTGGGTGGTAGAGAGGGAGGAATTGCAAGGGAAGCACATGAAACAGCACTTCATCAGGAAAGCCTTGTTGGGTTGGCTTCTCCGAGCCTTTGAGGACACTGATATGACTCCAGCTAGCTGAGGTTGGCGTCTTGTTCGGTCATGTTTGGGGTTCTTTCTTCTTCTCGGTCTATAGTCTTCTTAATGTTTGGGGTTCTGGCGATGGATGGGTAGCATTAGAAACTTCCAAGATTCAATTCATCACTCTTACACTCAACGGATAATGAGCTCGGCGCTCACAGCGCCAACTACCTGATACCTTACTATTACATCTTCAACTCCATTTCCCGCTTTACCCCCTCTCATCTCACGCCTTCCCCCACATCACATCTCACCACCAGATCTGCAAAGCATAACACTGCATACTCATGATCAACTCATAATCGTCGCAGATAGATATATACACCAGGAAATGCTACCACTATGGGGTATTGAACCATACGAAAACCAAAAAAAGTAGCCCGTAAACTCGTGAATAGCCCGCTTTAGTATGCTCTGCCAGAACACGCCTTGGAAACTCCTGATAACAAACACCCTACGCATAGCCCTAGAGACCAAAAGCACTTCGTACGATCCCTGAAAAAAAGGTAGCCAAAGCACAACGCCGAAGCCAGAGCCGAAGCTCGTCCATCTTTTTCCATCCTCCCTCCCATCCTCTCCGCCTCCCACACGCCAGACCTCCATCTCTTCCACTCCACCCACCATTCCCTCACACCACGCGCAAACCCTTCACTACCACCCCCATCTAATAAACCTCCCCATGCTCCTCCTTCGGCTTATACATAATCGTCGTCAAAAACTATCCACACATTAGCATCATCATCCACATCCTCATCCCCATCATCCCCTTACCCCAACAAACACGTAAATTCCACATACCTTCTGTTTATACCTCGTAGTAGCACTAGTAGCCAATATATTATCCTTAATACTACTCGTCGCCAGATGATTCAGCACAGTATGATTCGGATGAATCAACACACTGCTATCATCCTTCATCGGCGTGGTTCCGTTCAATATGCTCTTGCCCAGAAACCCGGGGAGGGAGGGCGGCGCAGGCAGGTTATTCGTCATGGCGTTTGCGCGTGCGAAACGGGATGATTCCTCAGGCGCATCGAGATCGAGGAGGTAGCGGGGGATGTTTTGGTGGTATTTCTTTGTTGGTTCTGGGACGGGGGGTTTGGCGGGTTCGATTGGGGGTGCGGTGATGGAGGCGGGGTCTAGATCCGGGGTGGGGGGAAGGATTTGGGGCGGGTACATGCCGGCTGGGGCTTCGCGTTCTTGGACGGGGGTTGCGGCATCGAGGGGGTCGGTGGCTGCGGCGGTGTCTTTGGCTGGGGGGCTGGCGGGGAGGGGGGTGAGTTCTGGGTAGGGGACTTCGATGTAGTTTACGAGGATGTTGGTGTAGTCTACGGCGGTGGGGAGCTTGTCGCTTGTGCGCATGTCGTTGTCGACGAGGAAGGTGAGGTGGTGGGTTCCTGGGGTGACGGAGACGTAGGCGGAGAGGGCATCTTTTTTCTTGCTGGGGCCGCTGGGAGATGTTAGTACTGTCGGTGTGTGGTGTAACCTCGAAGGCGGCAGATGCAGAATCGAGTTCGAGGCGCAACCCTCGTATACGTGTGCCTGCATCCACCGTTCTAGCCAGGCGCATGACTGTCCCACCAATCATGCCTGAGACACCCCAAGAAAACGAAACAACTTACTTCCTATGCAACTTATATTTCCGATTCCACCCCGCAAAAGTGCCCGTCACATAAACCCTCTCCCCACTCCCCTCCCACTCAATCAGCGTCGGCACAGTCGGCCTCCCCTGCCCGGGCCCCTTGAACTCCTCGCCCAGATCCTCATCATCCGCCGTTGTCGTACTCAGCATAGAGCTTCTGCGCGGCAACATGCCATCGGCATCGCTCTCGTGGACAGGCGTCCATATCTCTTGAGGCGAGATGATGGGGCTGCCGGGGGTGTGTACTTCTTCTTCTATGGGGAGGGGCAGGCGCGGGGGGCGCGAGAATTGGGATGCGGGAGGGAGGTAGTCGGAGGCGGAGGCTGGGTCGAGGGAGGAGGGAATGGCGGAGGAGAGGGGTGGGGAGGAGGTTGATGCGAGGGTGGAGGGGACGTCGACGGGGGCGGTGGGCGAGGGCGCGCGGGGTGAGGTTTCTGTCGAGGGCGCTGGGTCCATGGGCGCTGCATCGGGTACAGGCGCTGGTTGCGGGGGAGTGGCATCGCGGGAGGCGGCATGGCCCTGCTTGTCCTTGTCCTTGTCGCTGCTGCGGAAGTGGGCGCCCTTCTGGCTGCTCTGCTCGTTGCCCATGGTGGCGGCGGCGTCGTGGTGGGCGCTGTGGTTGCGGGCCTGGGTGTTGTTGTAGTGGTCCTGGGCGGCCTGCAGCTGCGAGGTAATGGCCCTGGTGCTAGTTCCCACGGTTTGCGCTCTCCCACGCGAGATGGGGCGGGCCGACGTGGGATGGCTCTCAGCGTCGACGAGGCTCACGCTGGGAGCCGCGGGGGCTTTGGCCGCACTCAGCGCCTGGATCGACTCGCGGCGGCGGGCGCTGTGGTGCTGGCTGTGTGGCGGGTGAAGGTGCGGCAGGTGGTGGTGGTGTTGGGGTCGCTCGTGCCCGTGGCCGCCGCTGGGATTGCCGTGCCCGTGGCCATGTGATGCAGTCACGTTGTTGGTGGGCGAGGCCGGGTTCGACGTCGGCGTCGTCGACCGCGAATTCTGGTTCCCCATGGATACGCCCGCTGGATGTGCACGAGGGCGACGTTACAGGACTGAAGCTGGAGCTGGCCCCGGCCGCTGGATTGCATGCAGCGCCTCACAGGGATTAGCATTTCCATGGCTGCACCCATCGCCGATAGCTCAATGCACGAGCCAATGACACCTATCGTGGGGCAGTCGGCCCTGTATCGTGAGTCGCGCCCGTCCACCACCAACGCGTCAACACATCTGCCCGCGCGGATATGGACGCGAGCACCATCTTCTCAGTCGTCGTACGCATCGCTGTGCAGCTGGCACACGTGATTTGGTTTCCCATCAACAAACTCATCAATCTCGTCGTCATCCTATTACTTCCATTCTACAACGTCATCACATTCGTCCTGCTACCCTTCATCCACCTCGGGCAGTCTTTCATCAGAGTGTTATCAATCCCATTTAGCGTCAAGTGGTTGGAGAGGATAGAGGTATTCAATCTTGATCCATTGCGCATAATCTTTGCCATGCTAATCTACAAAGACGCTATACGTCTACTTCGGAACAGCCAGCCTCATAGGATGCATCACCGGCACCATCATCTTTGTCATCTTCAGATTTCTGTCATCAACTCTTAAAATCGACGCACCCATCGTGCCCAAGGAGACTGAACAGGGAAGAACAGCCGCCGAGTACAGGGCTGCGCGGCGTGTGAAGAGGGAGGAACCCATTGACCATTCACCGAGTGCGACGCCCGTGGTGTTGAAAAAGGTTGCTGGGCCTCGCAGGCGGGGTCTGCTCTCACAAGCCATCATCGAAGAAGAGGACTCCGACTTTTGACCTCATCCAGCCTGGTCAGACGATATCGTTGGGGACAGATACCAGAGTAGAATGACCAGAGTCTCTCCATTGTGAATCCGAACGTATGCTGGGGCTCCGATGAAGCGTGTTCGATGTGTGATATTTGCTGAGACCTAGCCTGCTTGGAGTCTTTCCCTCGTCAACCTTGTCTGCATCATCCGAAAAGAGGTTCAAGGAAAGGTCCGACATTGAAATTTTCTTTCGCATCGGAGGCTGTGCTGCAGGTCGTGGAACTTGCGGACACGTGTTTTGACGTGCCGATGGCCTACAGCATGTCAGCTACGAGTAGATGAAAGGCTCATTACTCACGCTGCAGAACCGCCCTCTTTCTCGTCGGTACCAGCCAATGTGAGCCAGTGCAATACCACAGCAGCCCACGTGACTGTTGACATTCGGTTAGCCAGATTCACAACAAGCTGGTGGTGAAAGTACCATCCAACGTGCAAATCGTATAGCAGACCTGTCGCCACCAGAACACGTCAGTGAATGCCTTCATGTTCAGTCAGAGCTCAACGGACAAAGGCCAGTTCGTTTCCCTGCAGGATGCACAGAGAGGCAAGATTTGCGCCAGTCGGCACGATAACAATGACTGTTCCCCAAAACGTCTTCCACAGTAGAGTCTCAACTTTCTTTGCCATGACTTCGTTTGATCGATGAAGGTTCGGCGTGGCTTTATTCTTTGTCTGACTACAAATATTGCCGATCCACAGCGCTAAACGGCTCGGGAAACTGGCGCTCGAGGTCTGGCCGCCTCTGACCAAAGGGCTCAAGAGGTAAACAAACACAAGCGTGAGGTAGACGTTGATGACAATATCGCATGTCAAGAGCGGGATGCCCGTGTATCGCTTGACACCAATGCGGCAACGTCCATCGTCGGAGATCCAGAACACCGGTAGGATGAACGCGACACATCCAATGGTACCGAGGCTCACTACGATGCCAATTGTGCTGTATAGCCATAACGGATCACGATAGCGCGTCATGTAAGGTGCTCGTAGGGCGTGCGCTCGCTCGACGAGAAAGAGATACCTACCCACCAAGCCGGGAATTAGTTTTTCCAATCCATCCATGATCTCTCTAAGAGGGACCGCCTCACATGCTCACTTTACTGCCGGCATAGAAGACGATGCACAGCCTCATGGCGACCTTGCAGACAGCGTTTGTTCCTAGCCCTAGGCCGTTGTTTACGACTGCCGCCGAGAAAGCGAAGCCAATCGAGAGGAAGTAGAGGATGAAGACGTAGACCTGGGTCAAGGTTATGCGATTGAAGGGCTGGCGGTCAAGTATTCGAACGCGATATCCTGTTCTTGTCAGTTGTACGTTGCATCTAGATGAAGCGAGCAGTCTTGCGTACCAAGTAGCCCAGATAGCAGGATGACGCAGAACTTGGAAGTTACAACAAATGATGTACGTGGTCCAGGCGGTTCACCAGGATAAACATCCGCTCTGTCTGGCAATGTAGGCTTATCGTTCGAGATGGCCGCGGACATGACCGCGGCTACTAGCAACGTCCATAGTCCGAGTGGGATCAGCATCGTGGTAGGGGTTGTTGTGCAGAATACCGGCTTAACGGAAGCTCAAGTAAGAGGTTAAGTTGGTGACATGGCTAGGAGGTACTGATAGGTCGTAGGGCGTTGTTCGGCATGGTAAAGTCGAACAAGGTGAAGAAATGAAGGTGCCTTGCTCTAGTGCTGCGATTTCAGCATGCTGCAGTTGACAAGCTCAAGCGTCGCTTCTCTCACATCTCATGTGGTGGGAAGCGCGACGGCGAGTAACAGCTTCTCGAATAAGCGAGGAAATCTTTCGGCCAGTCGACCTTACTTAGCAACGCCTGAGATCGCAACATTCAACACCCAGACTACTCGACAGCGATTTCGCAGTTCATGATGAGACCTCAGGCGGATTGCTGACTTGTTGCATAACGCAGAGTAAATTCAACGGGATGCGACCCGGCGGAATCATGATGCTCGCACGCGCTGGAAAGGCTCGGCTACAATGTAAGGAGACCTCGGGGGTCTTGGCGAAGACCCTTCTCCACACATTCAAGTAGATGCTAGTAGCAACCGAATCATGAGTTGTGTACTCCGCTCCAGCCTGGTACCGTGCTACCCGCGGAACAATTCTCAACACAACATCGTCATTGTGTAGACAAGACCTGGTGTTGGTACGTCATGGAGCTCGCTTCCTGCCGTGGGAGTAAGAGACCAAGTGCCAGGGTCACGATAGCAAAAACTACCGAGACAGCACTGAAAGCGCCGACTGTCGAATTGGGCGCTAGTCTACCAAGGTCCATCTCTTTGCTGGGTTTTCTCCCAGTTTGGTGGGTCCTGATCGACTAGCAGCAGGCGCAAAAGAAATTTGCCCGCCAAACACGCGCCAGGGCGCCTGGCAACGGTGTGTACATACACTGCGGGCTGTTAGCTTCCAAGGTTGTCGCGCGTACTGCGCAACTGCTTGGTCGACGTAGGAGACATGTGAGCTGCTCTTGGCTGGCGGCGTAGGAATGTGGGAACTGGTGGGAAGCGAGTGTGGGAGATGTAGCGCGCTGCAGCATCGCGTCATAGGCGGGACGGAAATGCCTCACTACACAGCCTCTCGCGACGATGACGGCTTATGGAACTGGCTGCGAGTGAGAGACGGGGCTGTTTGTGTTGACTGCGCAGTGAAATTGGACCCAAGAGCGGTGGAACAAGGCGAGCACACTCAGATATTCACCGCAACGGTGTGGGGGTGGATGGTCGCAGCTCGAACCGTGTTTGACATGTGAAGTGCCTGGAGGGGGCAGGCGCGAACCCCGTTAGCGTGCCTCCTGAGATTGGGCGTCTGTGCACAGCCTCACTCTAGCCCTCTAGACGCGCAGCGCTCGTCTTTTGTCTCACGCCCACGCCTCTGCCCTTTCTCCCTCCTTCTCCCGCCAAGTACTAGACGGACGTTGATGCTTGCCGGATGCTTCATTTATACCTCTTTTAATACCACATCTCTATCCCGCCCTCGCGCCTTTTCTTCACTCACCACCTAGTCCGTGCACAACGATCCATCGGGAAAGGAGGCAGAGAACAATACAGCAACCATGCGGAGAGGCGTCACCATATTCCTGCTCGTCACCATCGTCGTCCTCGGCTTCGCGGTACACAGCGTGTGGACACTGCTCGGTCTTCTGATTGCGACTGGCCGCGAGGATGCCATTCTCCGCGGAGAACTTCCTGCGCCCAACTCGAGCGCGATTAGTGATGCGCCGCAATTGATCCCCAAGATCATCCACCAGACGTACATCAACGACAGCATACCGCTGCACTGGAAGGGCCCCCAGCAGAGCTGCCTGGACCTCCACCCCGACTACGAGTACAAGCTGTGGACCGACAAGAAGTCGCGCGAGTTTATCGCTCAAGAGTAGGCGCTCCTACGGCCATATCGCGCGAGGTTTTAGCTAACATTGTCAGATACCCATGGTTCCTCGAGACTTTCGACGGCTACCCCTACCCCATCCAGCGCGCCGATGCTATTCGCTACTTTGTTCTCCACCACTTTGGTGGAATCTACATTGACCTGGACGATGTACGTATGGCATGTCCTCTCAACCGTCGCAATGCTAACATTCTCAGGGATGCAACCGCAGTCTCGACCCTCTTCTTGCCTACCCAGCCTGGGTCCGTCGCACCATTCCCACTGGTATCTCAAACGATGCCATGGGCGCGGTCCCTCGTCACCCTTTCTTCCTTAAGGCCATCGACTCGCTGACCGACTACAACCGTCGCTGGCCACTCCCCTACATCACCGTCATGGCTTCCACCGGACCTCTCTTCCTCAGTCTTGTGTGGAGACATTACAACAACGCCGGCCCCATCGACCAGAACCGCGTGCGCATCCTGTTCCCCGAAGAATACAACAACCACCCCTGGAGTTTCTTCACCCACCACCTCGGAAACAGCTGGCACAGAACCGATGTTAAGATCATCTTCTGGCTCGCCAAGCACTGGCTCCTTGTCACTGTCTTCGGATTCGTTGTTGGATTCGCAATCCTCGGCATGTTGTACAAGTTTTTCGTTCTCAACAAGCGCACGACCGGACCTGGATCGCCAAAGATGCGCTACTTCAACCAAAGGATGCCTTTCTACCGTCGCATCAGCCAAAAACGAAGCTTTGAGCTCGACGACCGCCACGAAGTCTAATCGCACCATCCAGTCCGCGCATTGCATTGTTTCAGCGTTACGTCCGTTCACATGTCTTGCATTTATCCGGCGTTTTCCACCATCATCGCAGCCGCCTCGTATTTTCGCTTCTACGTTATCCTACAACACTTTTTGTTCGCTTCTATCCACATTATTGATCGGGGGCTGCGTTGCCCTCCTAGCTTGTTTAACTGTTGTTTTCACTGTGGTGTGTAGACCGCAACCGGCGCTGTTGGTATACATGAAAAAGGCTGGACCACTGTCGTTGTCAGAGGAACGTGACTCTGGGTGGGATCCTCATAGAAAGGGAAAGGGCCAGACCGGGGCCGGACCGCGGAGGCATCAGGAAGAAAGACCGAAGAGCTCGGCTTAGGGATGCGAAGTGTTGTTATCTAGATAGAAGAAGAAGCGTTATTGCTTATGTTAATATGAAATGTATTGAGTAATTACCAGTATGATACTATGAATTTTCATGAATACGTGTTTGAGTGTCAGACCATGGCTGTCGACAAGACTGCGGAGCGCCATCAACAAAAACCAAAATAACTAAACAGACGTCCCATTAAGAGGATCTTCCATGTTCAATTGCGACCATGAACGGTTGAGGAACTATGTCTTTCCGAGCTTTCCGAACGACATGCGAACACGCAAGTGTTGCCCCACTTGTTGCCATCATACGCACACGATTGGCCCGCGAGCCCTGGCCCTTCCGTTTCGCTACTTCCCTCCCCTTGTCATCAAGCTTACTGTGTTCGTAACTATATCGCGACGTCGCATGTGCCAGGGCAATGCTGGCATGTACGTCGCTGGTGGCTGCACGTTCAACACGAACCTGAGCGTTTAAGAGAAAGCGAAGTCTGTTTACTTTTTCGATATGGAGAGATCGGCAGATTGTCGTGGCCACTGCGCAGCTTTGGGATGGATGACGTGACGTGGGTACGTTGGGGAGGGAAGGCGGAGGGGCGGTGGAGGTTCTTTGCAGTGGCGATACAGCAGAAGATTAGGTCTATCTATGCCTCGTAAATCTGTGGTCGTCTTCGGCGCTGGTAATCGAGGCTGTATCTTGGTGCGCGGGATGATCATGGTAGATCTCAGATGTTCAGCTGGGTAACGCGCCGGCATCGACCTCCGACTCCACAACTCTTCCCGAAATACCCAAGCCTCAAGGATCTACATCCAGGTAAGAGGCTATGTACCTGGATCAAATGCAGCAATCGTATGCATTTTATCGAGCATCAACAACGCCAGATCGACACGAGTTGCCATGGCCACTACGCAGCGGCCAATGACAACACTAGTCCGCCACTTCCGTAACCGTTGCAGGCCTTCCGTCATCGCTCGGCCCTGCGCAATCAAGCAGCCAATTCAGGCTTGGATCTCCCAATGTTGGAAACACCGTTCTCTCTAAGTTTAGGAACTTGACAGCCGGTATCCGTCCGTCTGGATCCACTTCGTTTCCATATCCTGATCTTGTACCTGACGTCGCTTTCTGCTTTCTGCTCATCTACTTCGATGGATGGGACTTGAGCGATTACTACTTTCACAACTACACCGACTCAACACGAATCACAACAATACACGCTTTCCGTGTCGAATACAAGAACCTCGATTACTCCAGGTCGCCACCTCACAATGGTTGGAGCTACAGTCCAAATGCGCGAGGGCGCCGAGCTCGTCGGCGAAAACGGCTACCGCTACCTTCTCGTCAAGCCGCTCGGTCAGGCCAATGTATGGGTAGCTGTCGACGCAGCTTCTCAATCGAAGATTTACATCGTGAAGCAGCCCGGAGACGATGACGTCGGTTTTGGATGGCCCAAGTTCCAACACGAGATGATCATGCACGAGCTCCTCAAGGGCATTCCAACAATCCGACAACAAGTAGACCGCATCCCACCATCCGCTAGAGGCGAACCGCCCCGAATCGTGCTCGAGATCCTTCAATCGACTCTCTGGGATGCGCGGAAGAAGCGGCAGTTCAGCGATGTGGAACTCAAGGGTATCATGCGCTCGGCGTTGATGGGCTTGCGGGATGTGCATCAACGAGGCTTGGTGTATGCAGGTGAGCCTCTACACACACAACCAGGATGACAAGTAAAAGCTAACCCCACCCAGACCTGAAGATGCAGAACATCCTCCTCAGCGGCTTCGAAGACGAACCCAACAAAAAAGCCTCCGTCGGCGACGACCGCATCACCGCCAAACTAGGCGACCTAGGAATCGTCATGGAGCCAGCAAAAGGCCTCGTCCAACCCATCGTATACCGCGCCCCCGAAGTCTACTTCCGCAACGAGATCAACCAGCCAGCCGACATCTGGTCCTGGGGCGTCATCTACTGCCAGCTCCTCGAAGCGCAAGCCTCCTTCAACAAATACGGCATCTACGATGAGCTCCTGCAAGGCAACACGGGCCAAGGCCAGAAAGAGCGTTCCGTCGAACGAGCTATAGCACACGACTTCGGCCTCGGCGCCTTGGATTACTACGACGGCTGCAGACTTCCATACCACGACCGCTCCCACCACGAAGGACAACACTGGGAGAGGCTGCTGGAGAAGGGTGTCCCGGAGAAGGAAATCAAGTTCCTGAGCTGGGTCCTGAACCCGGTTCCTACGGATAGGCCTACAGCGCAGCAGATTCTGGATGCGGGCTGGTTCACCATGGATACGGCGAAGACGAGTAAGATTGCTGAGAAGCTGGAGAAGTCGGCGCAGGATAGTCGACGGAGGAATTTGCAGAGAAAACGCAGTGAACCGCTCTTATCCACATTTTCTGCATCTACACAGCAGCCTTCTGGATTGTACACCCGCGAGCAGCCCACATCCTTCAGAAACACCACAGCTTCAAACACAAACACAGCTTCAAATACAACTGCCTGGTCCCCCGCCGGTATGCCGTGGCACCCGCAATCTAGCCAATCTTACAGCCATGCGCCGTCATCACAGCCAGCATCTCAACAACAGCAACAGTCTTCCACCCAACAAGGTGGTCCGCCATACCAACCCATGTCCTTCAAACCCGTCACGGTCCAAGCGAAAGAGGAATTGGAACACAAGACCAGGCCGGTTACGCCGAGGAGTGCGACGCAGAAGCCGAGTGGGAGTACGTTTTTGAATTTTGGGAGTTTTATGCGGTAGGCATGGGGTGGGGGGATGGAGGGAGGGAGAGAGGAGAGGGGACGGAGCGAGAGGGGAGGAACGGTGGTGAGGTGATGGGGTGCGTTAGGCCTTCGGCTTACATCAAGTTCACACCACGCAAAGTAGTCGACTCAACGCCAACGTAGGCTCCAGGGTTAGTAGTGTTTTAGTTGTAATGATATTGTTTGTTGTTCTGGTAAAGGAATGTGATGATGGGGACGTGAGTGACGTGGAAGTGGGCATGGATATGAGGTCTTGTGGGATTCACTAGTGCTGCGTCTATCCCACAATTTACGTTGGTAGATTTGTCGAAGACTGCCTGGAGTGTGTGAGGGATCGGAAAAGGTGTTGCTGTTTCTGCCCCGAGGTCATTAGTCCCAGAGTTAGTTTTCCACGGAATTGCTTCAAAAGAGTGGTTGTTAGTGTGAAAACGGCTGTGCTATCTTAAGTAGTCCTGCGAGATCTTGTACATGGTTCTTGCTGCGAACTTATATACACAGAATCGGAATTCCAGCTCCTTGTAATTCTGCCAAAGGGCGAAGGGGAGATATTAGCATTACAAGTGCATTCTATCTAGCTCGAGCGTCTTGTTTCGTTCAAGGTGCTGATGCTGGTGTTGATGCCGCTGCCCGTGCCAAAGCATGCACATCGCCGCAATGTAATTGGTAGCTTACTTCTCCTTACAAAGTTTCGTGTCGAGTTGTCGTAGTTCTACGCGTTATTGGGTATATCTTTTTCTTCTTGAAAGTGATACTTCATTCGAGAAGGTATACAGTTAGTTTTGGAAGGTATAGACGGTTTGGGGAGATAGAGCGTAAATTTGTTGCGTTCGTCTCTGCGCCTGTCTTAAGGTAGCTATGTTGTAGTGTGTTTCTGTTAGATTAGAGTAGACTTAGAGGTTGTTGGTTTGTTAGATGGTTATTTAGGTACGTCTCTGCGCCTGTCTTGTAGTGTTCTTTAATGTAGAGTGTTTGTCTTAGGTTAGAGTAGAGTTAGAGTAGTTAGTCTTTTAGGTTCTTCGATTGTAAGGTTATTCGGTTGTTCGGTTGCTTAGTTGTTCGGTTGTTAGGTTGTTAGTCAGGTTGTTCGGCTGTTAAGTTCTAATTTAGTTGGTTAGGTCGTTTGTCAGTTAGATTGTTAATTAATAAGTTGGTCGGTTTGTAAACTTCATAATAGACATTTCGTGGAGGACTACCAGGTGGTTGTTTGCTCGTCCGTTTCTCTTCTTAAACGCATTTCCCGTAATTGCGAAACCTCATCTGCGCGACGCGTTCCACTTCGTACAAGTACCCCATTCGGTCCCATTCGTGATCCTGGTACCAGGACTCGGCAAGTTCATCCCCGTGTTTCGCGCGTCCAATTTCCTGAAAAAGGCCGTGCAATTCCTTCCCAGGGCGCCACTTCCCTACCAACCAATCTAATTGCCGAGTTGATCCATCATTGATAGAGGACCTGGGTTCAGCGTATTCAATACCCCATATCACATCTAGGTTACGTTGACTCATCGGCCGCTCGGGGTACACATCTTGCCCCTGTATGGGTGACCATATTACTGCTTCCTTGAGCGCCGGCATCTGTATCGCTGCTCTTGCAAAGCGTTCGAGCAGTAAGATGAGATTGGCATGAGGAGCAATCCGGAACTCGTAATTATCCTTACCACGTGTCTGTCTTCCACCCCGAATGTTTTCGACATAATATTCGTCCATGTCCTCATCGAACTGAGTGCGACTATAGGGTGGGTAGGAAGCGTCTGTGACAGGGAGACCGCGTGCAACGTCGCCTCGGCCATCAGTGCCTTGGAAATACCATGTGCCATCCGGACGGGCGTTGTGAAACATGAGATCAAGTAGTTCAAGGTGTGGCCAGGGAGTGTGTGATGTTGCGGAATCCTGTGGCGATAGTGCAGGGAAGATGCTCTCGTCAATCATGGCCCGTAGTTGCCTAAATGTACGAGTTAATTTATTGGTCTCATATTAGTCTGTGTATGCATGAATATGACTTACAGGTGGCGAAGGTTGTTGCACAAGATACCGAGGCTCGTCGAGAAAGGATCGTGAGTAAGGTTGCTACCTACAAGATCTGGAAAAAGCGTTCCGTGATCATAGTCAGTCACCCGACTTAAGGGGTATAAAAAGTCGAGCGAAGCTCGCCTCAGCGTTTTGGGTAGCTTGTCGACACAGCTGGTAACTGCGGCAGCGAAATCATGTCGGGCATCTCGTCGCGGTCCTGCCCAGTCGTGCTCGTAGTGTCCACTACACGGATCTTCTTCTTCATCCAGGGTTTCGCACCATTCGTACCCTCCGGTCCGGGTACCCAGATATTCTAGATTGGGCATGCTGGTCGCTAGGTCGATGAGAACCCGCAGGTCGAGCTTCGATTCCTGCATCTCGGAATAATTGTCTCGAAGGCGATACGTATATGCATATTCATCCCAGGGAGGGTACTCGTACTCGTACCCTTTCCTGTCGTTACTAACGATTCTGAACGATCGGATGGACGCGATGGGAGGTAGTTCTTTGGCTAGTAGCCGGACGCGCCAGCTGGTCATATAGCGATGGGGGCATGCGTCTTCGTTTTCCGTTCTTCTTATCGGGTTGTAGATCGTGAGTCGATACCTGCCCGGAGCGTGGTATTTTCCGGCCTGCTTTTCGACTTGTTGGAGGATGTCGAACAAAAATTGCATCTGGCGGGTGAATGACTCGTCTCTCTCGCGTACCTCGTCAGCACTCTCTCGACAAAATACTCGATCGTCATCTCCATCAACGTCGTCATCATCACCATCATCATCGCTGCCGTCGTCATCATCATCGTTGCCCTTTAAGTCGTACGTCGCCGAGACATCTGGTCGGAACGTTACTTCTCTGAGATAGAGGAGGCGATGACCGGAGAAGCGCGTAAGGAAGTTGGCTGAGTTGCTTTCGGTAACTGCGAATTCAGCAAAACCCCCAGAGAGTCTTTCTGCTGCATAGCGGAACTTGCTAGTTAGAGTAAGAACACTGCGCAAGTCCTCTCTAGGTAGAAAGCTAGAGATTCTTTCGATGAGCTCTTGCGGGAGTTCGTTCATGATGGTGTGAGTATGTGATGAGTTGAGTTGAGGTAATGAGTAACGTTTGGTGGTTGGGTGAGTGCGATGCTGAGAAGCGATTGAACTTCTGTGGGAAGACTGTGGAGATGACAATGGGAGATTACTGTACTTGAGGAAGGTGCGCGTGGCAGAGCTCTGGGCTGATTTGCGGCGTAGTCACAACATGCGGCTAATTCGGAACATTCCGAAACATTCCGGGCGCTACAGTGGCTCCTTCCTGCCCACCACTTGTCGCATCTATTGTCGTTGAAGTCGCGCGGAGGTAAGAGAGACAGTCGTGATGGGTCATGCTTACAGCAATACATTTGTTTGAATGTTGTACTAGAGAACAGTGATGGACACGTGATAGGCGATAGAAAGGAAAGAGTGGCGAAAGAGCATAATATGGCGGTTACGACTGCCCAAAATAACAAGCGAGTGAGATGAACAAGGTCATGACTCCAGTACAAAATCTCAGACGAAACATCCCCGAACGCCGCACGTAGTTCCTATCTAAGGACCAGCCCCCAAATCCAACTGCCAAGCAATCATAATCACCAATCAGTACAACCCCTGTCTCATAATGCGCGCTCCTTCTCAGACCCGATCTTAGCCTCCTCCTTGGTCTCATTGATCGGCGCCATCATCATCCATTTCTTTCTCATCCTTTGATTTCCACGGCATTGCCCAGTCTTTGACCTTGTCCCATTCATCTTGTGTCTTCTTGATGAGAGCCAGCATATCTTTCTGTGTCTGTTCCAGCTTCTTTTTCTCGTTCTGTTTCGCCTGAGCATCACCCTTGAAGTTCTTCGGCACTTCGGTCTTCTTCGAGGACTCCCATTCGTCTTTCAGACGGTCGAGATTGACTGTCATGAAATCTGTCGCTCTCTGCTTTGCCACCGCAAACACATTGTCCATGTACGCGTCCCATTTCTTCTCAAGTCCTTGCTCTTGCCACGGAAGCGCGTCGATCACGTATTCTTGACTTTTGGGCTTCGTCGCATCCGCAAATCGTCGGGGCGTTTTCTGTAGCTCTCGGTCAATGTATCCGATCATCGCTCCGATCCTGTTTTTCTGGTTTGCGAATATTTCTGCGATGCTGTCTTGTTGCATGTACTTGAGAGCTCCGATCATCGGCCGCATCTTCTGGATCGCCCTGCGTGATTGGTCGCTCACACTCAGTTTGAGCTTTTTGTCACGCCCCTTGATCAGCGCTTTCATTTTTTTCTCGGCAACGATATCTTCGTTTTCGCCAGATTTCTTCAATGTCTGTATGAACAGCTGTGAGAAGTATTGTCAATATAAATATGAATTTCCGCACCGTGTCATGGATGTACGTACCCGTCCCTTGTATCTTGCGTTGATTCCACTTTCCAAGAGTGGCATCTCATCAAGCCACATTTGGTCACCATCTTGTTTCCACGGGTATACACTTGCTAGCCACCCAATCGGACTACGTTGCATGACAGCTGGATCCGGCGTAGGGCTTGAACCCGGCGTAGGACTCAGATTGGGGCTAGGGCTCGGACTGAGACTAGGGCTCGGACTGGGACTAGGACGTGAATTGGGGGTATTGGCCAGACTGGCAGGAGGTCCGTTCATTCGATGGTCTTTCCAAGTCCAGGATTCTCTCCAGTACTCACAAAAGCCGACCATGTTATTTTGCTGAGGATCTGGATTCTTGAACTTGGTCATGATCTCTTTACCCATCGTATTAAAGAACTGGACAACCGTTTGCCATTCTAGAACGTGCTCGGTATCATATTGGATACCGGCACCCTCATCTGGCTTATCCATACTGTAGTCGTCGCATGAATCGCGTTTGTTGAACCCGTGTTTTTTGGGCTTGTCAGCTTCCCACTCCCCACTACTCGGGTAACGGAAACTTTCTAGTGGGTAATCGCAAGCGCTTCCTTCCTTGGGTTTCGCACGCTTCTCGAGGCCAGCATACCTAAGATCGATTGGATAGCTTCGTGAAAGAAGGCTGGCTTCATCTACGACTTCATCTTTGTCTAGCGCTGCCAGATCTTTGCAGGACAAGGAGAACGTTGCTGCTGAGGAAGAGGACGACAAAGTGGTGGAAACAAGCGTTGTTGACGTGGCAGGCGGAGTTGTGGAAGATGTCGGCGAGGAGATCGTAGACGCGGTAAGAGAAGACGTTGCGAAGGTTGAAGAAGTCTTGAACGGAACAGTCGTTTCTACCGGTGGAGCTCTACTGCTAGGAAGGTCACTTGCAGTAGTCGGGGCTGGTTTGGCACTAGCCTTGGTCGTATCTCCGTCTCCGTTTCCGCCGTTTCTCGTGCAGCGTGGACCTTTGCACCCTTTGCAGCCTTTCGCAGGACATGGTAGGTCATCGTAGTTCATCCCACCCGGGACAAGCTCGTCCGGGGCATCGACCAGAGGAGTAAAGGCCTTCTTGATCAAGTCGTCCCTGCTTGGTACCAGCGGGCTACAACCTGCTTGTCCCGCAAAGTCCGCACCACTGAGGAAGAAGTCGGCCCATTCTTGCGCAGCGTCTTGCGCTTCATGGGCGTACTTGTACGCCTTTGCTGATCGAATAGCGGCCACTACAGTGATCTTTTAGCGTCTGCTACTAAACAAAAGAGATGATTCTCGCTTACCCATTCCACCTGTGATGGCTCATCCTGGTGGGGGAAGTGCTGCCATCCCAATGGCCATTACTACGTCGAGGGCTTTCAACGCGGGACAAAGAACCTTCTCGAGGATCTTGCCAGCTTCGATCAGTCCTTCAATGAAGAATTCGCCTGCAGATTCCAATATCGAAAGATCACAAGCGCAGTAGCCTGGCTCAACCATCATGCCTAAACTTGATCTTAGTCATGAGATCCAATATGTATAAAATGCATGCCCAGGAAGACATACCGTCATACGTTTTGTCCGCACCATACAGAAGAGCAGGCCCACCTTATACAAGAAAAAACTAAACAGACTTGCAGACTACATTGAGACAAAAACCTGCAAAGTATGTGACCTGCCGTTAAAGTAGGCTCTAGGGTTTTTAGTTTTTCCTCTGCTCTTTTACATTCTGCTCCGACCCGTCGGATAGCATGTGACATCTACTGTCCTCTAGATACTTGTTCAGCTTCTTCATGACTTCGGGATCCTTCGTCTCTGACAAGCCGTATGGATTGGACTGCTCGTAGGCGATGGGATCGCAATTCTCCGCGATAATGCATGTCGTCAAGCCGGCTAACAGACTGAGGAACGCCTTCATGTTGAATTGTGGTATAGTAAAGATACGACCGGGCAAAGACGGGTACGATGTAGTTCGATGGCTGTCTCTTGCGCGTTCAACCCTAGTCCTATATACTCATATCGATTCTGGTCTTGAGTATACTTGGGAAGTACGCCCCCAAGATCTACTATTAGCATGAAGCAGTCTGATACAACCACGCCGTGAGGTCTGGCTATTCGGAGTGTCGATGAGCTGTCATTTTGGACCCGGCAGCCTGTGCCTCTGAGGCTCAGTGCACATTGCCGCTCAAAAATGTGACGGTGCATGAGGTATGACGACTGCTGTAAGCTTCCCATTCCTGAAGGAACGTCTTAGCCCCAGAACGCGGTTGTCGTGGAAGAGACTGGTACAACCCAGTTCCACTGTGCCGCTTGATGTTAGATGAAGCTGACAGACTCCTGAATGCATGGCACAGTCGAAGTATACGTCATGATAGAGCCATGGCAAGATTCCGTCGAGATGCGACTGGGAGACGAGATGGACTCTTGCAAATCGACGAACTTAAGTACCTATTGCCAAAGAAAGCCAGGCTAGATACGATGTATTTCGAATGGGCGGCATGTTCAGGCCTGCGCGAGATAGTCGAAGTCTTCACCAGGTAACGCGGTGCCAGTTTCCGGACGATAGTAGTGGTCTCTTTTGGTCGTGTCGGATCAAGCAGAGCCGAGAGGATTATGCGCTACCAATGACTTGCAAGGCTTACGGTGGTGAGGTAATTCAGCCCCACCATTGTTGGAATCGGACACCGAAACGTCGCTTATTTCCAGCGAAACAACCGCGAATGCGACCAGGTCGCCAATAATGGTGTTACTCAAATTGCGGCATTGTCGCGGATCGCAAACGCCGCTCACGAAGGCTGCTCGTCGATAGCTCCGCCTCGATCTTACACGGAATCACACTTTACCGGCGTCACCGACGTCACCAGAGATAAGAACAACAAAACATCTTGAATCTGGAACGTGAGCTCTGCATCTACATGGCACTAACAGCAATATTCGTTCATTCTGCTCGCATGCTTTTCTCGTAGTCCAAATCCTACGACAACGAAGGAGTAATGCGGCCTGGGTCACCCTGGTGATCATCAAGCATCCAATTGCGAAGATTGCTGTAGTTGGAAGATCTGTACCCCTCCCCCCAGTGCTCGACCAGATCATTACCGTGCTTCTCTCGCCCAATGTTCTGGAAAAGACGGCGCAGCTCCGCATCTGGACGCCATGCTGCCACCATCCACACTAGGCAACGTATCGTTGGATCGTCGTTTCTTTGTTGACTTGGGAGATAGTGCGATGGTGACCCCCAGATACCATTGTCTTGATCGGAATATTGTATAGCCCAGTTAGACCTCCAGTTAGACCCAGGTCCTTGATATTCCGAGTCCCAGCCTTGGGACTCTGCGTAGTCATATTTCGGATACCAATTCAGCGATGTCCAGATGATAGCTCTCCTCAAAGAGCACATTTGCGCTGCTGCACTGGAAAATCCTGCTAGGAGCGGCCTCAGTCTTGCTTCATCTGGTGTGATACGAAACTGATTTTGCGCGCCATTGGGTAAGTTGGAGAGATGCCCGGAGGTTACAAGCTCCTCCATATCAATGTCGAGCTCGGTCGTTTCAAGAGGGGGGTACGAGGCAGCGGTGATGTCGTAACCGACAGCCTCGCGGCCGTGGCCTTGAGGTCCGACGAAGTACCATGATCCGTCAGGCCGCGAAGGGTGGAACATGACTTCCAGAATTTCCAGATTGGGCCATTGCGGCTGTGAATTATCGTCCATGCTGAACAGGCTTTCATCAACAATCGCCCACAGGCGCAGTTGTCGCAGATTATTGGTCAGGATACGAAGGCTGGCGCTGAATGGGTCGCGGAGAGCTGGACCAACTAGATTAGGTAAAGGCCTGTCTTGAATAGTGTCAAGTGCGCGTATCAGCGGGCTGACGAAATCCAGGCTCGCCCGCTGAAGCGAGGTCGGAAGCTGGGTTTGGTGAGAGATGACAGCGTGTGCGAAATTGTGCCTCGCATCACGACGTGGGCCATCCCAATCGCTTTGGAAGTGTCTGTTGGGGTCTTCACTACCATCATTACCTGAAAATGCAGGAGCCCATTCGAACCCTCCTGTCTTGCAGCCGAGATACTCCAGGTTTGGAAGCTTCGATACCAGATCGACCATGACCCCCAAGTCCAGTTTGAACAATCCACCATCGAAACACTTTCTGTAATTTGCAGGATAACCGTGACTATCGTGGTAAACACTCGCGTCTTCTGGGCATTCGTTGCAAATCTCCAGCGAACGAACTGAATGTACCAGGGGAAGCTCCGCATTGAGCAGACGAATGCGCCAACTGATGTATTCCTGGTGAGGACAGTATATCTCCACATGAATCAGCCTGGAGGGGTCGTGTATCTGGATTCGATATCGACCAGAGGCATGCTGGGGTGCAGCATTCTCCTCAACAGTACTGAGCGTTGTGAACAGCGAATGGACCTGACGCGTGAAGCACTCATTTTTGGCTCTGATTGCATCGGCGTTTTCGCGACACATCTCGTCTTCCCAGGGCCAGGGGTCGGGGGGCCAAATTGGAGGGAAGTTGGGGCGAAAGTGCAATTCCCGCAAGTAAAGCAGCCGGTGTCCTGAGTAAAGCCCAAGGAACTTGTCCGCGTTACGCTCATTTAGGGTAAACTCTGTGAAAGCGCCAGAATATCTCTCCGCGGCATAACGAAACTTTGTGGAGACAGTTAGAACGTTCTTGAGATCGTCCGTGGGCAGGTGTTTGGTGATTTCCTCGACGAGTTCTTGCGGCAACCGATCCATGTCAAGCTAGCGACTCTAATGGGCTGACTGAAAATGCCGTGTTTTCCGCGAGCGTTCGATTTGTGGACAGGTGTGTAGTTGCAGGTAGACGTCGAGGGGATGGGAGCAGAGTGATAGCGAGCTGAGCGTGTATTGTTGGGGGCGCGGTTGCGGCGCGGTTGCTGTGATGCACGTAGGCCCCAAGCCCTATTAATGGAAGCACATTCCGAACATTCCGAGGCGTTCCGAGCGAGAAGACAGACTGCAACAACGCCGATGCGTCACGGATATCGTGAGAATTGGCCCGCTTGGATGTATAGAGTTTGTTAAGTATATTTGGACGAGGAGTGGAGCCGTAAGAGTGTGGAATATGAGTCGGGATACAACATGACGGGAAACCCTCTCCCAGTGAAGGTTGATTAGTAGAGGCAAGGCGAGACGAATGGTGATGTCTTGAGCATCAGGCCAATCCAAGAAACAAAGTCGCCAGCTTTGAGAATGGAGAACAGGATACGTGTAATTCGCACGTCGTCTTGGCAGGGCTGATGCGTGAGGGAAATAAGTATAAACAGCGAATACGCAGTGGGTGTAGACTCAGTCGTACAGCGTGGAAGACGCCTCACATTGGGTGTCACTTCCTAGCGAACCTAGCCAAACTGTATGCATACCATTGAAGATAGTTGCGCGTAGAGTGGCATCATACTTAAGCCTTGATGAGATTGCGTGCTTTTTCGATGGTTGTAGTCCGTCAGTATCCGAGGATGTTGAAGACTGTTGGAATGGCTTCAAAGCAGTCCATTTCAAGGTACAGGCCGTGCAACGTGCGCAGTTGAGAAGTGTTCCACGTCTGTAAGCGCTGGCTGGAACGAGCATGCCGCTGGTGCAGGTGTTGTTATGGTGATGGCGTGGATGCTGGAAGTCACCGCAGGCGTCATGCCAAGGCGAGCTAACGCCATCCGGACTCCCTTCCACGCAGAACCATGGAACGCAGTAACATTAAATGCAAACACGTACGCATGCTGCACTTCTTTCTGCAGTTGCTGCTTCGGAGGCAATGAAGGTGAAGATGTGCAGCTACCTCTAAGTGTGCACGATGGGCAGAAGACGATCGCGCAGGTTCCACCTATCCTCGGCGATCTCTCTTATGATTGGTCCATTGCGTGCGCAACTTCCTTGCCAAAAAAGCCGCCCCAACGCATCCGCTGAACACGCTCGACATCGCCGCCCACCTAAACCTTTTCCATCGCCAAACAGCACCCCAACACCTCATTTCATCACTTTCGACGCGATAAAACGCATGCGGAAGTCCGTGCGACACTTTTGACACCCATATCGACAATATTGCGACGCGTTGGTGGTCGGATCGCGCTTCTGGGAGCGTGACTCCTCTCTTCGCTGGCTGGCCCCCGGCGCCAGATTTGCAACCAAAGCCCCATACGCAGCCCAAACCGTCGTCACGTGCATAACGACAAACAACAATGACGGCTCGCGCGACCGGACAACGCTTCAGACAGCGCAAGCTATCGACAAAACAGAATTTACCTGTCGTGCGCGAACAAGATGTTGAGCAGCTTGCTGATGACGATGCGTCGCGCCATATTCCCAAGGTTGAGACCGGTGTTGAGAAGGGCGAGGAGATTGTAAGTCGCGCTAGGCCGCTTTCGGCTTTCCCTTTCCCTTACCCACCACATACTAACATCATGTTTAGGAGCACCATTTACAAGCTGTCATATCCGCCGCCCAGGCAGCAGCGCAGGGAGCGACTGGTGGGAAGATCGCACAGCTCTACATCCCGACTCCGGATGCTGTCGCGAGTACACTGCAGTATGAAGATGTCTATCCAAAACGATTCACGCAGCCCGCCACTTACATTCGATTTTCGTCTACCGTCGAAGATACATCTGGCTGTCCGTATTGCATGACCAGTGATGATGTCGCCTTTCTCAAGTCTTACAACCAAAAGAAGGGCAAAACCAACCACTGCTCAGAAGACGAGTTTGAAGAGGTGATCAACTTCTTCGAGGAGACCACCGCGATAAAACAACCGTATGCAGCCGTCGACAACTCGCCTGTTCTTTCTTACGAGGAATTCGAAGCAGAGTTCGATGAGACCATCAGCGAGTCGGCGCGTCGGTTCGCACGAGATATTTACCCACATTGGAAGAACCAACGGCTACTGAAAGGCAACCGCCCGC